GGGAAAGCGAAGGTACGCGCGTGAGCGGAAACAAGTGATAGTAAGAGTGAGTTTGCTTAAGTGGTGATTAGATACTAGACAAGAGATACGAGCGCGAGGTGTCAAAGAATAGATTTCTACTATGTTCTCCTAGGTAGTATGTGGGTGGTAAGTGGGAGGTAGAGTCCAAAGTTCGAAAGTTTCTAATAGTATGTAATGCTGGCGCTTATATACGGCGCCTAAGCGCTGTCACACGGAGCCGAAGCGCTACCGAGTAAGGTATGTAAAGCTATATGTAAGTAAGGGTCCAAAATAAAGGTGGAATGATATGTAAATAAGGGAAATGGAAATACACGCACTAGAGAGCTTGGTGGACAGTGGATGGATGCTTCCGGAAGGCTGGCGCTATAGGGCGATCAAGCGTGGGAAAGCGCGCGCGCGTATACATCGTAAAGCGCGGGAATGGTGCGCGCATGGCGCGCATTGCGCGGGAAAGCTGCGCCTCATATAGGGATAGCTGCAGATAGCACACAGAATGGTGCTGCAAGTTCGTGCAATGAACTCCCTAGTGGAAAGTGCCATATCACACCATGAGAGGCATGAGTCTCTACACCGAGAATCAGTAGTCAGGTACTCAGTACTTGGTTCTAATTCTCGGTACCTGTGAATCAATAGTTGGGTACTCCAGCCAATAGTCCCGAGTCCCGAGTACTGATACTTGGTATTCAGTAGTCAGGTTTGGAACTTGGGTCTTGGTTTGGTTATCATTTGACTGAGATATTGGTAGGCAATATTGGCACTTGGAGCTCGAATACTGACTATCAACTATCAAGTGTCGGGACTTGGTAATCGGTAGTTGAGACTTGGTGCTTAAATGGATATTGCATATATACATAAAAATACAAAATATGTTCCTATGTGTTCATTTCTAGGTGAATAGACTTTGAAATTATATCTCAATCATCTATTCAACAATAGAAACAATGTATCAGGAGCTCAGGACCATAGGATAATCCTTTATTGTATAGTGTACCTCCCCCTCTTCTGGTGGTTCACCTGCTGGGGTTTTTTCCCTGTAGGACTGGACCTCAAGGACTGTAGGGAGTCTATTCCTGAGCATATTCGGAGTAGATATATCATATAACCAGCCCAGGACACACAGGATCCTTTTCCAGGAACAAAGCATAGACAATTGCACTTGTGACATTTTTTTACGATTTCCAGTATCTTGCCCTTGCATCCATGATCCAACCTTTTAATATAGAATGAGCATAGCTTATATTCTTGCTTCTTATGACCAAGATCAGCTCACAATAGGCTGGAGTTTGTGAGCTAGTGTGTATACTTGCCATTTCGCCTGATAAGGGGCCCATGCCTTCAAAACATTGAATCTTCATAATCAGAAACCTGGGGTACATTTCAAATATCTTAAGTATCATAGACATAAATTTACAGACAAATCAACCAAGAATTGAGTACTGAGGAAGTGAAATGGGTAAGAAATTGAGTATGGGAAACTTCAAAGACCCAAAGCATCGAAAATGGTTAGTTGAGCAGTGGTAGGACTTTAATGCTGGGTCAACTCATATTTTCACTATATCCCTTCTACCCACCCCCTACCCTCAGGGCAGTAGGCAGTATGGGTTCCTTGGGTAGTTTACGATCTATCCTACATATTTGTAATGATATTTTCGGCCTGAATCATATATAAATGTGACTTTGTATAAAAGATGTCTATTGTCACTCTCCACACATATGTCATTTTGCCTATCATTACATCAATCCTTCATGAATCTTTCTAAGCTTTTAAGCTATTATAATGGATGTATATGGGTGTTATTCCAGGTCTCTGATCACATCACAGGCTTGTTATGTTGGATATCTTGACATAATGTGCAAGTCTCGCTATCAATATTCATTCTTTTATCTTTAGACTCACTTACTGCACACATGTATTTCATTTGTCATTATTGATGTTTCGGATTTCTTTAGCTTATATCTCGGTCACATGGTAACCAATGGACGAGAAAAGACTACAAATAAACTCACCTAGACTCGGACTACAACCTTCATTAAGCTGACTACTGATTCCCGGGTACCGAGTATCAAAACCAAATACTGAGTACCAATTACCATGTACCGAGTACTGCGTAATGAGTAACAAGATAACCAATTGACAAGAAAAGACTATCACTACACTCACCTGGACTTGGACTACAACCTTCGGTAAGGAAGTTAAGCATAATAACAACTTTCATTTTTTCATTATTGCTGATGTTTTGCTGAATGACAAGGAAAGACTACCAAGACACTCACCTTGACGTGGACTACAACTGTCATTTTTCATTATCATTTGCCTATATTGACTACCGAGTCTCGAGTACCGACCACTGACCACCGATCACCGATCACCGATCACCGATCACCGATCACCGATCACCGAGTACTGAGTGCTGACAAATACAATTCCCAAGTTATTTGAATCCTACACCAATGGATAATACATACAAATACAATTCGTGTCCATTTGAAGTACCGGGTTTCAGGTTTTGACACTCGAAACTCGGTGATTTGTGCAGTGAGTGAAAAATGGACATGTTGTGTACATGATTTTGGGTTTTGGGTTTCGGCCCTCGGCCCTCGGCACTCGGAACTCGATGATCTGTGTAATGTAAATGAACAATGAACATGTTGCACACCAGGTTTCGAGTTTTGGGTTTCGGCACTTGAAACTCGGTGATTTGTGCAACAAGTGAAAAATGGACATGTTGCATACATATTTTCGGGTCTCGGGCTTCGGGTTTCGGCACTTGGCACTTGGCACTTGGTTATTTGTGTGATATAAATGAAAAATCAACATGTTGCACACTGGGTTTCAAGTTTCGCGCTTTGGCACTCGAAACTCGGTGATTTGTGCAGTGAGTGAAAAATGAACATGTTGTGTACATATTTTCAGGTCTCAGCCCTCGGCACTCGGAACTCGATGATTTGTGTGATATAAATGAAAAATCAACATGTTGCACACTGGGTTTTAAGTTTCACGCTTTGGCAGAACTCGAAGCTGTTGATTTAGATATCATCCGAAACCCGAACACCTGAATGTCAAATTTTCAGTGCCGAACCCCGAGTGCCGGTGCCGGGTGCTGAGTCCCGAAGCCCAGAACTCAGGATTTGACATTTGAGACGAATGAAATTTTTCAGACATGTTTGAATTAACCTACGTATATCTATAAACATTTCACTAACCCCCGAACCCCAAAAGATATTTTTGTTGTCTTACATACCGAGTTCCGAGTTCCGGGACCCCCGAACCCCGAAACCTGGCAGTCCACAATTTCGGGGTTTGGGGGTTGGTAAAATGTGTATGGATATATGAAAGGTTGATTTAAAACCTTCAAACCCCAAACCGAGATTTACCAACCCCCAAACCCCGAAATTGTGGACTGTGTGCAGTGAGCGAAAAATGGACATGTTGTGCACATATTTTCGGGGTTCGGGGTTCGGGTTTCGGCCCTCGGCCCTCGGAACTCGATGACTTGTGTAATATAATTGAAAAATGGACATGTTGCACGCTGGGTTTCGAGTTTTGGGTTTTGGCACTCAAAACTCGGTGATTTGTGCAACAAGTGAAAAATGGAAATGTTGCATACATATTTTCGGGTCTCGGGGTTCGGGTCTCGGCCCTCGGCACTCGGAACTCGATGATTTGTGTAATATAAATGAAAAATGGACATGTTGCACACCGGGTTTTGAGTTTCAGGTTTTGGCACTCAAAACTCGGTGATTTGTGCAACAAGTGAAAAATGGACATGTTGCGCACATATTTTCGGGGTTCGGGGTTCGGGTCTCGGCCCTCGGCACTCGGAACTCGATGATTTGTGTGATATAGATGAAAAATCAACATGTTGCACACTGGGTTTCAAGTTTCACGCTTTGGCACTCGAAACTCGGTGATTTGTGCAGTGAGTGAAAAATGGACATGTTGAACAATGGGTTTCAGGGTCTTGGGTTTGAAAAATAGCATAATAACAACTTTCATGTTTTCATTATCATTTGCCTATATTGACTACCGAGTCCGATAAGGGACCCCTTGGATGATCCATTGCTCAATGAAATACTACCTGATTGGAAGTGTGCTGGTTATCAGATATTCATTTGTCGACTCCCGGGTCCTGGAACTCAGAAGTCGGTATGGTTGACCCAAATTTTGGTGGTCAGAACTTGGTGTCTCGTAGGGCAACACAAGCTTCGCACCCCGGATTCCAAATTCTGCAAGACAACCTGTGCACCATCAAAGGCCATGTCAGGAGATCACCTGCTGCTCCGGGAACTCGGTAACTTTGATTTATTACCTCCTCTGAGTACGGTTGACCCAAAGGTTGGTAATTGGAACTTGGCTTCTCGTAGGGCAACACAAGCTTCGCACCCCGGATTCCAAATTTTGCAAGACAACCTGTGCACCATCAAAGGCCATGTCAGGAGATCACCTGCTGCTCCGGGAACTTGGTAACTTTGATTTATTACCTCCTCTGATTTGGTTGATGTACAACTACCTCAGCTCCATCATGTCTACAATTATGATACACATGGGCCCACCCATCTATATTTTATACCACCCTTGGCCCACCCATCTAATACAACATCCCATACAACACCCTTGGCCCACCCGTCTAATTAATATGCATCTGGGCCTACCCGTCTAATACAATATTTTATAATACCCTCGGCCCACCCGTCTAATTTAATATGTGTCTGGGCCCACCCGTGAATGTGATAACAAGTACCTACCCATCTATCTCATACACATCTACCTTAATACACCCATCTGCATAATATCCAACTACCTCGGCCCACCCGTCCACCTAATATTCATGTACATCGGCCCACTCATCTACTCTATATATTCCCTGCATGGGCCCACCCGCCTCCATCGGGAATAATTTGCCTCCCGGCCCATCCGTCATAGTCGAGGATATTTTTATCATGGGCCCATGGTCCGCTGGCCCGTATCATACGGGATATTATGCATGTCCGTTCCCTCGTATTATATGGAGATAGGTCACTGTAATATGTGTGAGGACACCTGGAGCAGCATGCACCCACTGCTTGCTTTTTGACTCCATCCAAAACCCCCCAGTAGTGACATGCTTGAGAATATCATTATATGCAAACACATTGCATGAGTCGTGACTCGGCGCTTGACGGTTGCTATGAACACAGCTGAGTCGGAAGATGTGGTTGAAGGACTCGAAGTGTTCAGTTGAGAACAAGATAGGTGGCCCAAACCTTCGGATATATGCCAGAATATGGAGTAAAAAATGAAATTTTGATTTGGTCAGGATAATGCTAGGCGCACACTGAACTGAGATGTTGAGGAAATCGTCAATAGTGCAAGTAAGACAAGCCTGGTATCGCAGACATGAAATGAGTTTATATTCGTGGATCAGGGTTGGGGAAGGTAGCATACCAGATATTCCTCGACATCATCAATTCTCGTATGCCACAGCAAGACCACTAGCTGTCCAATGACAGTCCATCCATTCAGAACAGCGGATGGAACAAGATCGTATATAAGAAAAGGCATGAGCTGAGCAAGACTCTTGAAGTGTTTGCCGATCAGACTACCACTGTACCGACAGATATACTCTGCGCCAAGAGTGGGTGAATTGAGGCCGTCTTTGTTGATATTGTCCAATCTGGCTTGGAATGTCTTGACAAGGTGCGCTTTGTCAAGGATCCAGATAGTCTGACCCCAAAAGTACTTCACAATGCCAAGGAGAATGGTATGAAGAATCTCTGTTGGCGTGTCTTGATGGATGTTGAGCCCTGTCATGCTAAGCAAAGGGTTAATATAATCCTCAACAGAGAGACCGCCCAGCATTTCCTCGAACTCCCTCTCCAATGTCTGTCGGACTTCTCGTTTGTTGATCGCCGGTTTCCCAGGTTCTCATTTCTGCAGACGCTTCCTGTGTTCCAGGAGGCGGTTTATAATCGATGCAGAGGTAGTGTCACGGGTGCCAGTCGACGAGACAGCATTCTGGACTTTTGTAGTTCCACCAGACAACTTCAAAAGCTCAATCTGCTCGAGAATCTGCTGAATCGTTTCTTCTGGTCGGTGAAGCTCTCCAATCTGATCCAGCGCTTCAGAAAGTTGATCACCGGCAAATACAAAGGCTTACCTCGAATAGTTTAAGATACCCTTCATCAGACTGTTTCATAGATGTCGTCCCTCCTACTTTGCATGTGCGACAGAAGTAATTGCAGTGTAAACCGCCGTGGCTACACTCTTCCGCCTGCATGGGGTTATCTCCTGCTTCAAATAGGCCATAAGGGATAAGCATAACCTCATCTTTATATTTGCAGTCGTATGCAACAATGCCCTCATCTGCGGCAGCCCTGATGGACACATCAACATGACAAATCGACTGAAGAAATTGAAACAAACAAACCTGATTGACTCTTTGACGCCTTTGATGATCTCCATGGGTAAAGCATGCAGTGAGGATGACACAAAACGAACGCAGAATTCCTTTTCAAGCATCTCACGCGGCATGGAGGCATTAGACATGTACACCGCGTGATGTTTGTTCCACTGCTTCGACACATTCCCAGAGACATCGTCCATGAAGATTATGAGGGGAACAGTGAGGACAAGTCGACCATTTGACTTTTCACACAGTGGGTTGGGCATTTCTGCAGCAAAGGATTGTGATGTCGCTAGAAACCTATGAGTAGTCACCTAAACGGAAGTAGAAGTTACCTACGTGTAAACCCACACAAATGTATGTCAGTCTGCAAGTCTATGTAGGTCCATTGAAACGATGAAACTTCCAATATGACGCGCTCAGGATCTACTGCAAAACCTGCCTGGAAAGATATAAATCTTAGAATTCAGACTCGGATGGTGATCATACCTCCGTCCGTACAACTGGATGTCCCAATGCAAGGACCTGCAATAATGCTCGCTCAGTGTCACGGCTAGAGACATTGCCTTGAAAGAAACATGTAGGAATAAAAAATCCAGTTGTTGACTGAAGCAGCTCATTCCGGAAGTAGATATTGTTGTTGACACGAACGGATGGGACAGGTAGTTCTTTGGGAAGTTCATGCAGCATCTTCAATCCATGGTGCACTTGAGACATATTCCCTCTCCCATCTTCAGGATAGTCATGCATGCAGAAGCAAGTGAGAGGATTGGAATAGTCCTGGTGAGGGAGATCAATCAGTGTCGACACTAAAGCAGATGCACGTACCTTAGCGATCGCAGAGCCGATTGAGTTTATATAAAAGATATTACCAGAAGATGCTGTAACCTTGCAAGTTGGATTCCCGATGCAGCTACGAACATGATCTTGGGCTTTGCGAAGCACATACAAGGTAGGCACATTTTGAGCGCCCATTTCACGTGCCCAACTGAGCACAGCTTTTTTCTGTGCCTCTGAAAATTGCAGGCACATTGAACCAAAGAGGAGGTCCATGATAAAGGTCTAACAGGGTTCCGTAAATTCATTAGTATATCAAAATGGAATGAAACATACTGCTTTCGAAGGCCATGGATATGTGGAATCATCCATGCACAGTTGATTATTGATGTGATCCTCTGCAGAATAATTAGTCATTTGTCACATGACATACACAGTATCTAGATACCCTTGTCTTCCAATAAAAGTCCAAATTCATTGTCGTCGGGAGGAGGGTCCAGCATGTCATCATCATCGAGTCCAAGTTCATCTGCGAGTGGCTGAAGAGAGCACGTAAAGAGTGTATCCCCCTGGTTTCGAGCAGCAATAAGTTCACTGTAAAGGTCAGGTTCCTCAATTGCAAACATTCGTGTTGATGGATCCCACAGTTGCGGTAATTGTTCGTGGTCATAGTCGTTGTTATCATCCTCCGTGCTCGTCACCAAAGGGGAGGAAGGTGTTATTGGTCTTTCTGGGTCTTCCAGTGGTGGTATATCATAGACCAGGCGGGAATGAACAGCGGGAGTGAGAGGAGGTGATAGTGACTGGGCAGGCAGTGATCGATTTTTCTTCTCCTGAGTGCGCAAACTAAGAATAAAGCTATCTTTGTGAAGTTTTGTAGCGCAGTGCTCAGTAACATGACAGGCCTTCATAGCTCGCAGCTTCCCATTGCGCTGCGGGCATACCTTGCATACCACACATCCGCCAAGTTTCCCCAATGAAAATACTAAAAAAAATATCACTGTAAGTTTGTTACTGGCATAAAAGGAATTCATACCTTGGGGATCAAGGGGAATTGACTGCTGACAACCTGTCCTGGCCATGGTATGTTTCAGAATGCTCAAAGCAAAGGCCAGAGTTAAAAAACAGACGACACACTGCAAACATGTTTGATTAAGTTTAATTGATCACGATTCACTGGCACCTTCAAGCTTCAATGTTTCAATGTTGAACGGACTGTCATCCGTGGGAATATTAACTTGTCTTCGATCAACAAGGTTGAACAACTCTTATCTGCACGGACACATGTCTATTGTCACCAGTATCATCCACACCTCACCTCTCCCAGCCAATGAAGGCACTGGCTTCACGCCCATTTCTCTCTCCATGTTAAGAACGTGCTCAAGGGTCGGATCCGAAGGGCTTGGCTTCAGCTCGTGTGCTGCACCCCTTACCCGAGTACGTGCCCCTAACTTCCGAGGGTTGTCGAACGATGTCCAAAGGTTACCGGACGATGTCCGGAGGGCGTCGGGCGATGTCCGGAGTCCGATGTCCGATGCGCGGGAATTCCAGCGGACGTTCGGGAACAAGAGATAAGACTAATCCGGACGAAGTCCGAACTAGAAAGGAAACAGCGGAGGACTACCAGAGGTAGAGGCGGAGGTGACAAGTCTATAGGAGTCAATCCTAAGACGAGCGGAGGTCGACGAGAGAGAAACTCAAGTCGGACGGAGGAGGGAATGAGCAGAGTCTAAGATGATATTCGAACTAAGGATGTACATAGATTCTACAGGGTTTATATACTACTGAGGACTTATCGGAGAACAGAGATGCGCAGTCCGAAGCTATATGAAGCTGTGGACGGAGCGTATAGAAAAGTCAAACACTAGTCTATTGGAAAATAGTAAATGAACCCGGAGATTAGAACAGATGAAAATAAAGGCGGAAATGAAATGAGGTACGGAAAATGATATGGTCTAACTGGAGTAGGAACGTACAAAGGGATAAGGCACGGAAGTTAGACGCGGGTCGGATCCGGACATAGATAGACGTCGGCCGGATCCGGACATCCGGAAATGATGTGTGTGATAGGTCCGGGTCCGGAACGCGGGATATGACACTCCATATCTTTCCAAGGAAGTACAGCGCAGTCAGCACTGTTGAATTTTGGTGCCATTGTAAGTACTCTTTTTTATTCAGATTCCTTGACACCCTTCACCTTGTCTACTATAGCCACTACACGTCACAGTTCAACTACCGTGAGAATTTGGAGGGCAGGTGGTGCCTGTAATTCGCCATATTTCCTGGACAGAATCAATTTCAAATGTCGAGTCGCAGTCTGTCCCACAGCTCTTGGTGAGTCTCAAAGGGTGCACGGTGCTGACATACATTGAACCTTACATTCATGCAGATACCCTTCTTACCACTTCCGCCGTCTTTCAATCCCTTGTGCGAGGCTAGCTGGTCTGTGCTCGCCACACAGGTGGAAAGTTGGCTGGTTGACACCATTCGGGACGTTAGAGCGCCTGAGTGGGCTTGGGGCTGTAACGCATTCTGGATGGCATTCATTGCCGCCAATCCAGACTTTCCTCGGGGGTCCTGGCCTAACTGGAACCCTAAGATCAGTTTAGAAGGGAAATTTATCGAGTCTTGGACGGCGGACAACCTGACTATACCAGCTGATAGCCCTCTCAGTCAGCACATCCTGGATGAGATTCGCACAAGTATATGGAATGATTTTCAGCTTATTTTTCCTTTCCCCCATACTCGTAGCATTTTGTTTTTGTATAAATTATACTTGTAGATTAGATCAATCAACATGTATGCTCACCCTCATTCTGCCCACTCACGTTGTGAAGCACTTTGAGTAAATACGATAATACTACTAAGACTATTGCAAACGCACAATGCAGGTGTGGGGTAAACCAGACCTCAGCATTTGACCTTGTCACAATATTAGGCCATGATGGTTTGTAATATGTTGGTATCTGATAGTGTGCTGTCCCTGCCACCATGCTCGTCAGAGAGGATCCCAATCTCTGCTTGACCTTTGCTACCGATGTCCTATTGTGGTTTGCTTCATGCAGTCATTACAACATTGACGGAAATCCTTTGGTAAACGTATATATTTTGATAGTACTGGGGTTCTCACAGATCCTATAAAGGTATGATTATGCATGTTAGGTTCAGGTTTATCCTGATTAGCAGTGTAATACCCAGCGCACATCGGCATGACATCGGACATTCAAACGACACTTAGGATTTGTGAAGCATGCAATGGGGAAACTTGCACAAGTATCATAAAGAAATGTTCTTATATTTGACAGTTTCAACATTGAATATGATGGTAGTTAAAATTTGAGCTTATACAGGATAGTCTTACCAGCAGCATCAAGACTGAACATCAAAATTAGTATCTCCTTCTCGCAAAAAAGACCAGCAAGGAGATGTGAGGAGGAGGGACTTGACAGAGATCTGTGTCCCTCCGCAGAGACGGGAGACACGACAGTTAAGCGGCCGGGGGAGGAGGAGGAGGAGGAGGAGGAGGAGGAGGGACTTGACAAAGATCTGTGTCCCTCCGCAGAGATGGGAGACACGACAGTTAAGCGGCTGGGGGAGGAGGAGGAGGAGGAGGGACTTGTCAGTGGTGTCAGAAGACTCCACCTCCAACGTGATCGGTCTTTGACTTGCCAGTGAAAATGAGGTGCTGCTGGTCAGGTGGGTCTGCATCTGATAAGACTAAAATAGAACTAGATAAGAGCAAAAGTTAGTGAGCTTGAGAAAAGCACAAAATCACTTACCTTGCATGCATGACATTTGATAAGGTGATGACCATGATGGGCCTGAGGCCTGAGGCCTGTGTCCTAAGTGCTGGGTGCTGAGGTGCGAGGTGCTATCCAACTGCGCATTCCCGATCTCGTCCTTGATCATATCAACTTGGCTCTGAATATTGGACCGTGCCTTCTTCGTCTGCTTGCATTTGCCCGTGGAGGATGCAGCTTTAGATGTCGGCGCTGCAGGCGCCGATGACGACGACAGTCTAGACTGTGAGGACGACCCTGAAGAGCGGCGAGAGACAGGCTTGGGTGACGCCGTGCCTGGACGTTTCTTCGGATCAGCGAGTGCAAAGGAACTGCGACTGTCACGGTGGGAAGTTTGCAATTTTGGCGGGGGAGTGATAGAGGGGGATGGGGACAGGGACGGGGACAGGGACGGGGACAGCGATGGGGACGATGGAGGAGGTGGTCACTTCGATCTTGCAGGCCTAGACTTAGGTGGACTATCCAGGATGATGACATTAGGTTCGTCCCGGTAATCAGGCATCACAGGGTGATTGCGTGGTGGTAGGTCACCAAACAAAAAATCTGTCCCCTCCCCATCACTGGGAAGGGTAGAATAATCTAGCATGTTGATGTCCTCATCCTCATTGAGAGGAGAGTCAGAGGGGGGAGGTGTGCTGTGAGATTGAGTATGATACTGGGGGCGCTGGGCATGCTCCTCACGGTAGCCCATCTGATAGGGCTGAGGGGCGTGACTGAATCCATAGTGACTACTGGGAGGAGGATAAGTGCCGGGAGGATAAGTGCCGGGAGAATAAGTGCCGGGAGGAGGATAAGTGCTGGGAGGAGGATAAGTGCCGGGAGGAGGATGAGCGCCGGGAGGAGGATGAGCGCCGGGAGGAGGATAAGCGCCAGGAGGAGGATTAGCACTGGCAAGATTAGGCTGAGGATGAGTGCCAGGGGCATAGCCATACTGAGCGCTTCCAGAATTTGAGCCATTAGAGTATGAGCTCCCAGCTGAATGTGAGATTGAAAAAAAATTGGCGGCGTGGTCCATTCTTGGGTGTGATGAAACCATTCGAGAGGACAATGCTGGATTCCCCCTCAAAATGATAGCAAGATCGTTGTACCACGGAAATTCTTTGAGTACCTGCACTGTGAAATTTGTCAGTTAGACTATCTTAAATATGAAAGGGATACATACCACATAAATTCTGGGCAGCGTGTTCATCCTGCGGCAAAACACCAGCACCAGTGGCATGCAATCAATCATGGCATTCACAATATTTTTTTTGAGACTTTGAATAGATGTTAGTACATAGGGGGAGGACTATCAGACAAACTTACTCCTGGATGTGATTGTTCGTAAAGTCTTGGAATTTATCTGGTGCATTTGCATAGTGGTCCATATAGTCACCATCATCCTCAAAGACATGCTTGGCAATGATAGCGCAGATTGAGACTTTATCTTTGGCCGAGGGGCGGCCATCATCAGGGTGTGATTGTTTTACTTCAGAGGGGAATAATATCCGACAATCAGCTGAGTGGTCATGGAGGTAGTCAACGACCTTCTGGGTGCGGAAGGGAGCAGATAGCCATTGTATCTGAAACTTCGGCTGATCTGGGCCAGTAGTACTTCACAAACCTCGAGACTTGCCACCCCTTCCACAGGTTACAGGCCCTGACATTTGGTCCATGGAGATTCTCTCTTTTTGAAAGGGTGTCTGCAGCACTTTGAGTCGTGCAGAACGACGAGGAGGTCGTGGTCGAGCAGCAGGCATAATTTTCCAAGTCCGCTACGATGCCGAGTGTGCCGCATGTTCTGGTGGCTGTTCTTGCAGGCCTTACCTGAGTTTTGTTGAACTCTAGCCGGAAGTTAGCGAGCTTTAGCAATGTTTTAATTTCTACTCTGAGTACCATTAGTGTACAATGCAAATAGTAGTATGAAGAAAGATTTATGTATACAAGTACTGTTTCTTAAAAATCTCCATTCAACAAAAATACATGCAATTATATTATCTCCAGTGTCCTGATATCCATCATGTCGCCAACAGATGCCATGTCATTGACTTGTGCAATGATGTTATGATCTGACGTGATTCTCTTGTATTCTCCGTCGCGCTGCCGTGCTAAAAGAAATGCGCCAAACGGTTGTCCAAGGCGAACAATCAATTGCAATGCCCGTGAGTGAGATTCCGAATAAACTGGCTCGTTTTCTGAAGGGGGTAGCGTAGATTCAGATATGGACCAATCTTCCATGCTCTCTGCATCATCTGCAGCGTCAGGCAGCTCAAGGAGATGACGGCTCCATGTGCGGACAAGCAAGAACGTCCACCAAGCTGGCAGAGGCATTGCCCGCAAGAATTGAGTTAGCTTGTCTTCCGTGATTATATCCAGGTCACGAAGCCCATCTGCCTTGATTCTGTACGTGAAATGTATCCCCCTTTTCTGGCCAGGCTTCTGCCTAACTCCTGTCACAGGGAACACAATGCAAGGCAGATGCAACCAGCGGTGCACGAACCGTGGAGCGCTCAGGTAGTCAAGTGTCTGATACAACCTCGAAGCCGGCTCTAGAGCCACTGCATCTTGCAGAGAAGAGACCAATGACTGAATATCATCTTCTGATAGAGATGGCAACTCGCATGGGGGTGCTTTATACGAAGTGATGTCGGCTGGTAAACAGCTATTGAACTCTGATGGTTTCCCGACCCAGTCTAGTACAGTAATATCGCCCGACCAAGCTATGACCTTCCGCAGAAGTCTCCCAAGTGCGCACTGCTTCTTCTCGCCATAATCCACATGTAGGCGGACGCCGGATAATGAATAAGCGATATCTTCCGGTAATGTTGTGACACACGTGGATGCCCACTGGAGTATCTCTCTAGCACATTTCATCCCAGGACGGAAGGCAACAATTGCTCGTCAATCTATGCCTGTCGCATACTCCAACTCCTGCATGATCGCGACAGACTCCTTGTGGTTGGGAGAGCGATCGTCGAGACATAAAGTCCAATCCTTCTGATAAAAGAGAATGACTTGAGAAGCAAGGAGTTCTTGAGTTGTCCATCCGCGTGTGTTCCAATCACTATTTGCCAATGCGCCGGACTTCAACAAGGGTGGGACATCCGACAGGTAGACAATCGTGAGCGCTGAGTGTTGATACAAAGCAAACATGGAGTTGATGACTTCTTGATACTCGACACTATTGCTCTTGTCAATGCAACATGTATCGCTCCACGCCCAGCGATACCCTGCACGGCTAGCAATTTTGCAGAACGATTGCAACTTTACCATGCTGCCAATGGGATTCAGCTCGTACAAGACCTTGTCCTGGATATCCTGCAACAGTGTCTCCTTCCCTTCCCACCTGTGTGATAACATGGCATAACGGAAGTACATTGCGACTGTTTCATTGATGTGTTTCATTCTGAAGTCTGTATGTGTAATTGTTGATGAAACAAGCTCCTTATACTCTACACTTGTTTTGAAGGCGTTTATCTGCGCCTCTCGATCACATAAGAGCCCGGTGATAGTGTCGAGTGCACGAAATGATGCATTTTGTAGTTGAGCATCAATAACCTGTCGAATGTCATGTACTGCTTTGGATGGATTAAGATACTGCTGGCACAGCTCTACAAAAAGAGTTGAGCATGTCGATGCTCAGTACATTATTGGGGGCTTACTTTGAGTCAGAACGTCAGTGGCATCGTCCAATTTGGTCATCATGATTTGGAAGGCCTGGATTGCTTCATCATAGTGCTGTGCACCATGAAGCGCTGTGTGCTTCAAATTGTATCCAAGATAAGACGAAGGGTTGAGTTTGATGACCTAGGAACACCAAAATAAGTGTTGATTATGCAATGATAAAATGACATCGCACCTTTTGCGCATCGTGAAGTGCTTCGATCCATAACATTTTCCCAGACTTGGCCTTACTGCGCTTTGCAAAGATGGTATCAGATGCAGAATCCAGCTCGATCGCCACTGAGTATAGATCGATAGCTCTGTCATATTCACTTGCAGTGAAGGCAGCATCTCCATTGGCAGCACAGAGCACGCTGCATTCTTCCTTAAAAACTGAATGAGATTCAGGTGAGGATTGTAATATGGGTAATAATAACTGAAGACTTGCCAGTATACCAGTCAAGGGAGTCAGCCTTCGTAGTTATATCACCTACATCCATCATATGCTGGTACGATTCGATGGCTTCCCAAAGTCTACCTGCCTGAAGGAGTGCATGGCAACGTTTCTGGTTTGCAGTCATTCACAACGATGTAAGGTCCCAACTGAACAGCTGAAACAAAGCACCCGGTTGAACATGAAAATATTTTCGACTTCATATCAATGTACCACCACAAAGTTGTCATATCCAGAATGAACAGCTGATCGAGATGAGAAAATGTTCATCTGGACAGCCACAGTGAAGTGGTCAGCAGCTTCATTGTGACGGCCGCCATCTAAGGCATTGATCACCAGTTGGACTTGTAAGTATGCCTGATGTCCAGAGTTCAGATAATCAGTATGAATACACGAGCCTAGGCATCATCGGTGTAGAAACAACAATACAGAGAGGAACAAATGAGGCTCCTGACTGTATCTATAATGTTGTGAGGTCACGCGTTGCCTAGTCTGCTATACTTGAGACGACAAGTGCGTTTGACCCTAAAGGGGAAGCAAGTGCAGCAAGGATCTGGTAGTAGGCGCTACTGGTTGGCTGATGCGGAGCGCGTGAAAGCGCAGGTGGGCGCGACGAGGCGCGGGAAAGCGAAGGTGCGCACGAGGCGCGGGAAGCGCGCACGTGCGTGAGCGGAAATGAGAGAGAGTAAGAGTGAGTTTGCTTAAGTGATGATTAGATATTAGATGAGGTGAGAGATGCAAGCTGAGAGACGAGGTGCCGAAGAATAGATTGCAACTATATTCTGCTAGGTAGTAAGTGGGAAAGTGGGAGGTAAAGTGGAAAGTGAGTTAGGTGAGTAATATTATGTACTGCTGGTGCTTATATACGGCGCCTAAGCGCTGTCATGCGGAGCCAAAGCGCTACTGAGTGAGGTATGTAAAGATATATGTAAGTAAGGGTCCATGATAAGAATAAAGGTGGTATGATATGCAAATCAGGGCAAATGGAAATACACGCACTAGAGAACTTGGTGGACAGTGGATGGATGCTTCCAGATGGTGGGCGCTATAGGGCGCTCAAGTGCGGGAAAGCGCGCGCGTGTATACATTGTAAAGCGTGGGAAGTCATGCGCGCGTGCTGCGCATTGCGTGGGAAAGCTGCGCCTCGTAAGGGAATAGCTGCAGATAGCATACAGAGTGATGCTGCAAGTTCGTGCTGTGTACTCCCTAGTGAAAACTGCCATATCACACAATGAGAGGCATGAGTCTCTACATTGGGTCTCACTTCTACAATACAACATGCATGGATATCGTTCCGGCAAGTGGCAGAGAGCTCTTGCACGTGCATAATAGCTTTCTTATGCTGACCTGCATTAAAGATTGCGATAGCCTGAAAGCTGTGATGAAGACAGGAGTATGACAGAAAAATTAACGTGCCTTGATCAAGAGAAGAAAAATAATAATCTTTGAATCTTCGTTTGCGAAGGTGAACGCGAGATCAAATGCTTGCATTGAATCCCGGAAGTTCCCTTGTCCACCGAGGGCAATGCCCTTGGAGATACAACCTGTCAAAAAGGGCTGAATGCTGATGGACTATGTTGTGATGAGAGTTAGCATCTCATATTGGTATGTGCTGGATCGGTATATCTTACCTTGATCGCATCCTGAAGTGCGTGGTCCCAGTGGTGCTTGCATGCCATAACAAACGAGCGATTAGCATACGAGGTGTACTTGTTGGTATTAGCATTGATATCTTGTGTGAGAAGTTTTTCAGCAGTAGACAAATCCCCTGCGATGCATGCATTGCAGGCGAGTGTGTCAATGGCAAGAATCTGCAGCATGAAGCACGCTCAAATTGCGTTTTCAGAGTAAAATATGCAGATGTGCCCTTAAACAAGTGCCTTTGGCCTTGAAATAAAAAAGACGGATATGAGATGGGCATAGACGAGAAAATAACGGGAAAATACCTTTGATGTCTGTGCATTGATAGCTTCCTCTGGTAAAGCATCCTTGGGTACTGCCCGCTCTGAGATCATTATATCAATATGATCACTGAGGATGTGCTTATCATCCATGGAGAGAGTGACGCAATCCGTCAAGTGTGGATGTTGGAAAATGGCGATGGTTTGTCTATCTGAGAGCTGCCGAAAGCAGTCATCAGCATCCTCAGATGCAGAAACGACAGGTGTGACGGTGGGATAAATGGAAATGGTATTTATGTCGCTAGCATGACCTGGCCAGTATGAGGGTTCACCGACATGCTGCCATATGGTCGGATTCTCCCCATCGCTATTTGGGAGGTGGTGTGAAAAAAAAATGGCATGGTGAATGTGTGTGCAAGGCAATAGTGCAGTCGGGAGGTACCACAAATGAAGGGGAAATCTGAGTGGTTCTCCATTGAAATCTTGCGTCAAGACAATGCTTTCCACTTGGCCATCTAAAAAATGTCCACTAACAAGAGGTTTGTGGTGTATACCATCCGACGAGGCATTAGACAGACGGCACCCGACCGTAATGATATTTGGGTGCCCTACAATTCATGAGTATTGCTGTAATGAGACAATGCGTCGAGATTCACCTTCTTCAGGTGAGAAGAGGACAGCAGAACATGTGATCACTTGCTGCTCAGCAGCTGGCAGAATGGCAAAAATTGTGGAATGGGTTGCCAGAACACATTCTTTTCGGTGGCGTGACCAATCCTGAGTACTGTCACTAATAAAGGTGTCCATCATGCGACAGTCATAAAAGATTTACGATTTGAAGGTGTTCAGAAGTGTAATACCATGTGGATTGGCTGCAGCTGCACCGCTTCGAAGTGGGCCTGCGGCACACCTGTAAGGCAAATTAAGGCGAGGGATAGGAGAAACAGGCTTGAGATGAGTCCGTAGAAGGTCAGATGAGAAAGTGGCCGCTGGTCCTGGAGTTAGTTCATGACGAGTTTGTCAAACTTAAATATGGCTCGAGCACGCTTAGGTTTCAAGGTTTAGGTCAACAGGTTAGTACCCTTCACAAGGGTTTCGCGTGACAGAAGGACCACCCCACATTTAGAAATATTCATGGTTGTTCAGGCATCTCGGGATCCGCCAAGTTTCAGTGATTTGCTTCAGGCACTAAATTATAGTACTTACCCTTTCTAGCCAATTGAGCTTTAAAACGTCGTCAACAGCCAGAAGACACATGCATAAAAAAATGCTTTACCTGTACTTATTTGGAAGGATAAGCAGATTTTATACCTTCGGTTTGTATCCTCAGTAAAGCTTAGTGAGCCAATCGGAATCAACAGTTGACATTGTGGCCAATCATAGGACGTAGTAAGGTAGTGTTTGAGGTGATACTGAGGCAACTTTTGGGAGTACAGAACACAAATACCTAGTAAACGTATCCGAGGAGAAGGGTTCGGATTTGGAAGTTTCCTGGGGTAAGCTGATTACTAATTCTGCTTCCGTGCATTTTGTTCTCCAATAATCTGATGCGATGACATGCGGCAATGTTCAAACCACATAGAAGGGCTGGTAACCGCGAACACTGAGGGCATCTTATCCTTAGAATTGTCCACACGATAATGATTTGAACTGCCGTACTAGGTGAGAAGATATGATAATCATAACATACCTGCCTTGATCGCTCTGCAGTGCACTAGTGAGTCTGAGTGCTGTTAGCCTATTAATATAATCTGGGTTTCAAAATGTGGGTCGAATTTGACTCTTTCACGGATGCCTTCAAGACGTGGTTTGGCACAAAAACAACTGGACCAAGTTGCCAAGCATTAAGTAGCTGCTGAGCTACTATGTAAGGCTAGTAGTAGCCTAATACACCTTCATCGCCTCACAGATATGCATCAGATTCTTAAACTCAGATTCAACTCAACATGCCCAAAGGTCATCAATATCTTTGATCTGTTCAACCATGACGCAGCACTATATATAGATGACCAAATTACCCGAGTGGCTGTTTCAAGTTGGGAGTGCGCATGAAACAGCATCGCCCAAACGACTCAAGGTGCTGGTCATCTTTACAATGACTGAGCTTGCTGTAGCCTAGGCCGCTTCTCCTCAACTTGGGTAAAAATGGAACATAGAATAAGCCATAAATTTGACTGCTGCACATGTCCACTGTCGAGATAGTCAATAACATCATGCATATCAAGTACTCCAGTATGTAACATGCTATGTCTAATATGAATAGCCGCTGGCTTAGTATCAATTGTCACCCATCGTGTGATTTTTGCAATCCATTCGCATGCCTCCTTTTACCTCTTCCGTTTTGTTTCCACTTTCACGACACTATAATCAGCTGTACATGGCTGAGAGCGAATATTATTGGAAATACAACGGTTACATTGCTTGGCCTGATGGTGACTTAGCCATTGTCGAGTTTACCTTTGGAGCTAATACAGCAGCTTCCGTCGAGGATCGCACCTATTGATGCACCTGAACAAACACCAGACTACTTGGCGATGCTCCATCAGCAAATCACCGAGCCCTTGTACAAGATTGTACAAGCAATACAATTTCACAACAAAGTCCCTCCTATACAAGCTTGTCACAAGGCCTTACAGCCTATACAAATGGTCACAATCTTGACATGTTGGACATACTATACAGACTAGACATATTGTACAGTTTAGACACATTATACAGTTTAGACATAGCACACACACTTAGATCAAATTCAGTAGTACTAGCACGGACAAAACATGACAGACACAATGTGCAGGCCTAGTAAGGCGCTGCATCCATTCTATTCAAACAACGTGATACTGATAACCAACGACAAAAAATTACTATAAAATGATGTTGACATTGTCGCTGCCTGCCGCACTGTCAGAATCGTCCCGAAACTCACCCATCATCCCCACATCAGCCCATTCCTCTAGCATACTTTCCAGTTCCTGATGACGCTCGGGGATATCCATCAATGTGTCAACCGACTTTTGTAGGGAGTCAAAATCAGACCTGCATTTATCAGCGGACAGGTCGGGGACTTTGTCTGTGCCTGTATTGCGGAACCCAGTTAGAATACCCTTCGCCTGTCGAACCATCAGCAATAGCATTAAGAATAAATTTTTCAAAAAGCATACAACCGCGCTGACGAGAATGAGGGCATTAATGGGGATCGTTTTTCGGAATTCTTCGGTCAACTTGAGGGCCTTTTTGCCGTTACCATAGTAGAAGTCGATACATGCATCCTTGAGAACTTGCGAAACGAAATTCCTGTACTTGCCCTAAATGAACCAATGCTTCAATAAAATGCGCCGCCCCATGATGTTGTTACTAACCACTGACGAGTCAGGCAATCGAAGATAGTCACCAGATTTGATCAGCTTAGACGCTGCATCAGCGACGTGCCATTGGAGGGCGTCCTTCTGCCCCATGTTGCCTTTGGGGAAGATGCCATACATTTGTTTCGCAATAGATAGTACGATTTTCTTGAGCTCTGTGTGAAATGTGAATAAGTCGTTGCAAAGCTGATGATGGATCAGCGAGCATGTTCATGGTCAGTACTCAGGACTCACAAGGCGCGACATCTGTGCCCTGTACTCTGGGAAATAGCCTTGACAAGAGACATCAAATGACAGCAACACTGGTGAATTAAAACTTACCGTTTTCCATTTTGATCTTCTTTGAATGGTAATTCCATAATACCACATCTAAGACTTCTTGTGCGAGCTGTAGCGCATCCTGATGCTCTGGGATAGGATGAGTCAGAACAGCCTGCAAGTGCATCTCTAATTTGGCTGCCTGGAGAAATGCTTGCCAACATGGCGGATAGAACCCGAGTTTCGAGGGATTAGTCTGCTTGTTCGTTCGTTCACCTTTGTTCCTTGATTCAGGTGTGGGACTACAAATACGAGAGTGAGAACGGCTTGGAACAGGGGTATGAGAATGCGAGTGATTGGATTGAGTGGCTTGCCTATGTGGTGGCCGCGACAAGGAATGTCCAGGAGATGGTCCATGGGATATACTCGGACGTGGAGATCTTGAGCGAGTGAAAATGGTTGACTGAGTCAGGGAGTGTTGACGAGGAGACAGTCTGTGGGAAGTGTGATCACGACCCCTGCTTGAACGCGGAGACCTTGAGCGAGTGTCATATCCCACGTTCCGGACCCGGACCTATCACACACATCATTTCCGGATGTCCGGATCCGGCCGACATCTATCTATGTCTGGATCCGACCCGCATCTAACTTCCTCGCCTTATCCCTTTGTACGTTTCTACTCCAGTTAGACCATATCATTTTCCGTACCTCATTTCATTTCCGCCTTTATTTTCATCTGTTCTAATCTCCGGGTTCATTTACTATTTTCCGATAGACTAGCATTTGACTTTTCTATATGCTCCGTCCACAGCTTTGTATAGCTTCAGACTGTGTTTCTGTTCTCCGATAAATCCTCAGTAGTATATAAACCCTGTAGAATCTATGTACATCCTTAGTTCGAATATCATCTTAGACTCTGCTCATTCTCTCCTCCATCCGACTTGAGTTTCTCTTTCGTCGACCTCCGCTCGTCTTAGGATTGATTCCTATAGACTTGTCACCTCCGCCTCTACCTCTGGTAGTCCTCCGCTGTTTCCTTTCTAGTTCGGACTTCATCCGGATTAGTCTTATCTCTTGTTCCCGAACGTCCGCCGGAATTCCCGCGCATCGGACATCGGACTCCGGACATCGTCCGGTAACCTTCAGACATCGTTCGACAGCCCTCGAAAGTTAGGGGCACGTACTCGGGTCAGGGGCGCAGCGCACGAGCTGAAGCCAAGCCCTTCGGATCCGACCTTTGAGCACGTTCTTAACAGTGAGCAAAAACAGTTGTTGACCGAGTCGGGGAGCGTCGACGAGGAGATGGTCCGCGGGAGGTGGGACCACGACCTCTGCTTGAACGCGGAGACCTTGAGCAAGCAAAAACAGTTGTTGACCGAGTCGGGGAGCGTCGACGAGGAGATGGTCTGCGGGAGGTGGGATCATGACCTCTGCTTGAATGCAGAGACTTTGAGCGAGCAGAGGGAGTAAATGTCGACGTTGAACTCACCCACGGGCAGAACCAGCCTTTGCAGATGGCCCTTTTCGAGGTGCACGCTGGGGAGACTTGAAGCGAGCGGAAGAAGTACGTGTCTCAGGGGACTGATGACGAGGCACCTATAGCGTAGCAAATCAGAAACAAGGAGATTCAAGTAGTAAGAGCTTACATGTTTGGGTGAATATTGGCGAGGAGACTTCGAACGACCAGAGGGTGTGGCCGCGAGAGTTCTAGAGAAAATTAGCAAATACATGATTTGTTTAAGAAATGGTGCATGCTTGATAAACGGGTCGGGGAAGGAGCCTTGCGACGTCCGTTCTTCGCTTGATGGTGTTTAAGGACATCATAAGGGATCGTATCTGTATGCTCATCCTTGTGTCCAGGCTGGCTTTCGTCAAATTCCATCAGGTCATCACCATCACCACCTATGAGTGCATCAGTCAAAGCTGGACCATCGTCATACTCCCCAAAATCATTGTCAGCTGCTCATCTTTCATCTTGCGTCTCGTGTTCATCGGCACTCTTCCCCAACCCGTCAAAATCATCCAAGTCTCCTGATCCACTACGATTTTCCAAATCCTGCTCTGTGACTTCGCTACCGGCTTCCTTGTGATTGTGACCGATGGGATGGGTTGCCTGGGACTGGGATGGCTTGAAACCAAACCTATCTGAAGGGCGGGCTATGTGGAGACGAGCGTGTTCACTCTCTGGCCATGAAGAATCGGGTTCAACAGAACTCTTTGGAGTGCTGGCCTGACAAACATTTGTTAGTTGGGTACTTTCACTGAATTTTTGAAAAAAAATTACTTTTTTCCTGCGTCTCTTGAGTTGCGAAGGAGCCATTGGATTTTCTTCGGAGTCGCTTATATCAAGATCATTCAATGCCTTCTTTCGCCTCGTTTGGGCCATTAGAGTTTCGCCAGTTTTTTGAAGTTGTGCAGCATGACCACTGATACCTCGCGTGGACCGTGAGCTTCATCGAGCAGGATCAACATCTGCTCGTGCCACCTTGGCTCCCTTCCTCGACTTATCACCTGGGGAACCTTGTCTGGCCCTTTTCCTGGGAGGCATCGAGTGAAGAAAACAAAGCTGTAAGGTAGTCAGTTACGGTAATACTTAAAATGTATTACATAAGCTAATCAGCGCTTGGACTTGTTTGCACAAGGAACCATATGAAGGGCAACCGGCATGCACATGAACACTGATGTTACCAAGGTCTTAGTTCATGAGTGAAGATGGCATAAAGTATTCTTGAGTTTTGTGTGAAATAAGATAACTAATAATGAGCCAAAGAAATCGCGCCTGCGCTTCCTGCCTTTTGAGTTCTTGAGTGTACAGTTAAACATAATGGACGTGCGGTTAAACCTGCTTCCGAGTCTTCCGTTTAGAACGACGAGGCTTACTAGGAAGTTCCTCAGTCATGGAGCCAGCACCTGAGACAGGAAGTTTGTTTGGGCCAACAGATGGCAATGATGGGAGTGGAGGAGGAATCATTTTGTTCTTCTGCCCAGAGCGACGAGGTCGAAGACGAGTCTCCTTGATCATAGGGCCAGAAGTGGGGGGAGGAGAAGAGGAATGAAATGGTGATGCCATGGAGCCAGAAGCTGAAGAAGAAATTGCGCCCCGGGTAACAGATGGCGTTGACGGGAGTTCAGGAGGCAGCATCTGCATTTTCCGCCCCGAACGACGGGGCCGAACACCAGTATCCTGGGTCATAGCTTCAATAGGAGGGGGCGGGAGAGAAGCAGGAGGGAGAAAAGTGGGGTGATGAGGACGCGCGGGGAGAGGAAGAGAAGTAGGAGGAGAAGTGGCGACAGATGGCACTGGCAAAAATGCAACACTTAGCGATGTTGGGGTACCTGGAAAGCTTAGAATTTTCTCCAGACCCTGTTGCATAATCTCGAGGATTTCCTCATGAGACAAGTCACGTTCATTGTGTAGCGCATCCCCAATTGCCTTGCGCCATTCCTCAAGGATGGGGCGACAAGCTCGAAAGTATGGTGTTGGTTCGTAGTGTGGATGTTTCTCTATGAGAAATTCTTTCTTCAACAATCCACTAGTCCCAAGACCATCTCCATCCATCGTCAGGTAAGCCTTGCGCCACCTAGGGGCATTGACAGGGTGCACTCCTTCGGCCAACACTTTACCATTGGGTCCTTCATACGTGGTTGTGAATTCGAGGAGGATATAAAAGAGTGACTCCAGGTCGTCGGAGGCTCTGTGGTCGATCATGGATGGACGTGGAACGTCTCCCATGAGCTTTAGAAGATGGCAGGATATATAGGGTACAGTTCCCTTCAAGGTTGAGGCATATGAGCTATATATATAAACGAAGAATGTATAGAAATATAACTTACAGTACCACGTGAATCTACTGCTGCATTATTTTTGAGGAATTTGGCGTGATCAAAGTCGATGAAGTAGCCCTTTCCGTCGTGGATGATTATATTGTTGGGACTGAGGTCACTGTGTAGAACGTTCCACTGGGTGACCATTGCTTCATGAGCTGGTAGTGGCTGTCATTACAAAGAACTTTAACAAACACAAAAGAAACTCACCAACAATAAGATCTCAAAAAATGCTGACTAGCTCAGGGAGGGACTTGAAGGTCGTCAGCGGAAGCCCGCAAGGGGTCAATAGCATGCGACGATGAACCTTGTTAGAGTATATTGGTGCTTCCAGAAGGTATTTGCTAATGTGTTCGCAAATCCTTGCTGTGCAGTCTGATTGTCCAGCATACTGGACGTCCCAATATTTTTTGAGACTGACCACATTTGGAATGCCATCGACTGCCTGGAGGAGCATCACTTCATGATCCAGGTTTTCTGCATCGACCCAACAATCCTTCAATGCAAACTCTGTTCCGTGCTGATCTTGAACACAATAACAAACGGTCCCGCGCGAAAATAGACCACGACTCTTCCATAAAATATCCATAATCCAGTACACCTCACCGTCGTTGTCCATTACCCAGCCTTTTGTTCCTTCTGGCATGGGATCTATACCCTCAGGAAGATCATTGTGAGAACCGGTGGAGCAGAGGTCGGTACAAACATGAACAGTAGGATCGAACCCAAGGGAAGCTAGGTCTGATAGTGTTATTGCATTCAAGATGTCGACGAAACGCACGGCACTTGAACCAATTGGGACGGGTTGAGAGATTATCATTCCAGAGCGGTCCATATAATGAGCGCGGAGCTGGAGGTTTGCAATACTAAATAAAACAATGAAACGGCGCCACAGCTGTTCTTGCATTATAAGATAACCCTTGGTGGCGACCCCTAGGAATATGGGTATATCTTTTCCTTGAACTAATTCCGACTTGGTGATCTCGATATTGGTGAGAACATCCGCCCAGGTCTTTTTGCCTGATTGACTCTTTTTCAGCCTGAAGTCCATGAGGACTAAATCAGGCTTGTGCGATTTGGTGGCATCTGGAATGGGTGTGGTGGCGAATTCAGAGGACCAGTACCGTGGTTCCGGGACAACATTGGAGGGAAGGGGGTTTGGTGAGTCTGATTGGGAGGATTCGTCACTGGCCTCACGGATGATATTGCGCATAGCATAGTATATACTCCGCAAGAGGCGCTCCCAGCTTTTCTCTTCTGATGACTTGACGGGAAGGTTTGGTCTCTTTTGTCCAGCTGCAGCATTGAACAATTGCTGTGACCAGCTGGTGTCTGTGTCCATCATTGAATCTTCATCTATCTCCTCCAGGTCTGTCTCAGTCTCATCATTCCCCAACTCCCACCGCCGCCTTAACTTCTTCACAGGACCTGAAAAGGCACCATTGAGCCTCCATTCTAGACCAGTCTGCAGGTTCTGTAATAAAGATGCTCCCTGTAAGAGTGCTTCACCTTTTTTTTTGATGTATCTGATGCCTAAGATATCTTTGGTTGTGAGGTCCGATCCTGGAATAAGGGCATCCAGGATGGATGATTTCCTGCCTTTCATCCCCTCCTCCCATAAGACTCATCTGCCTCCAGCAAGCACGCCATCCCTACCCACAGGTAAGAGTTTGTTTTTCATCAGTAAATCCATGTCTTCCTTCAAACGAGGTAAAAAATCGCCACCAGCAGGGATGGAGCTTGTAACTGTCGCCAGCAGATAATGATTGGTAAAAGACAGTGCCATTGACATGGTCGAGACGTTTTACACAGCAACGTTGTGCTTAGACCTTCCTTGCACAATGCACAATGCGCCACGCTCATTCATATTGTGATATGTGATAGGCTTCTAAAGTTATCCTTAATGGAGTAAAGATATTCTCGTGCCAACCGAACAATTCAGTTCAACGAGCAAATATTGTAAGTACTAGCATGATTGGACGTATCTACTAATACTATCATTGTGAAGCATAGTAAATGGCATCATAGATCTCTTTATCGAAGTATTTATTCAAGAAAAACGAGTGTGAATAATGCGAAGACGTCACTTTCGTTAATTGCACATCCGCCACATCCCCCAGTCGAGGGATAACACTGATGAACACACGAAGTTGATTCAACAAAATGAAATTACCAACAGGAGAGCCGTCAGCATGCTTGGCACATTTCAGTGTATGCATCCCGGTGGCTGGATCGATCGGCCCAATATTCAAACACTGTACATAGCAGAGATATTGATCTTGCCATTTAATGCGATGTAGAGACTGATATCTCTGTAGGCTTGCAGGGATCTAAATTCCCATCGTCTCTATCACTTCCTAATATAGCGTGACTCATATTTCATCCAGCGCACTTGAGCGCTCTGTCGGCCGCTCGTGCGCACGAGCACTTCGGTCGTGCATCCTCGGTTCTGTCGCTAGTCCTCCGTCCATCCATTCCATGTCCGTTCGGTTCGTCGGTGCATATTCCCATTCTATTTCCAATTATTCTGACATATCTCCGGCACTTATGGCCATATCTCGTATGTTTTCCGTTATGGACCCTTACATTACATATAATACAATACGAGTGCCGCGGCCGTACATTACTAGAAACTCTGCCAAATTAGTCCATTAAGAGTCGCTCCGCTCCACCACCCGCACGCACACATCACTCCCTCTCAGCGCGCGCTTCCGTTATAAGTCGCGCTTCGCCGCTTATCGTCGCCTGCCGTCGCTCACCAGCACTTCACGTCGCTTTCGTTCGCTCATCGTCGTGCACCTTACCAGGCCTGACCAAGCACCCGGCCCAGTGTTTCCCTCCACACATATACTTAGAGGAACCTTCTCAGTAGCAATCCCCTTGGGTCAACACGCATCTCGCTCATTGAGGACTACTTGAGTATATCTCATACCACCCTTATCACCACACTACCAATTCCTCATCTACAGTGAGAACCTCGCCGAGCGATTGGACATACAATAATGTATAACTCACAGATTGCATGACCTTCGAAGGATGCATCAATTTTGTATTGGTGAATAAATATATGCAATGAGAATGCGCTAACCTGTTAGGCCTGATTTGGGCCATTCAGCGGTTCTGTCTATATTAACCAGGACAAAATCTCATCGGCCTTTGGGCCATCCAGGGCCCGAAGGAGAGGCATGTATAGTCTGGGCTGGTAATATGATACTAGAATCGTGGAAGGATGTTTGTTGTAGACGAACCGAATGCCAGACTTGAACACGATCAAATGGAAGGATTGGAGCACAATCGATCAACGGTCTTCTTCTTGAAGCGACCTCATGAACTACTCCTCTGCCTCTCGCGTCACGCTGCAAGAAATCTGAAAGTGCAATGTGCAGATCCGGTATATTGTAGTCAACAGAAATGTCCTCAACTTTGACTCCGCCACGAGACGGATCATAGTTGAGATGGATAGCAATGGTACCACCTATAAACGTTCGAGGAGGGTAAGCAAGTTCTCTGCGGCTGAGGGTAGCAAATCGCTTGGCTTTGCTGAAATAATTCGTGGTAATGCGCGTATGATTCATCTCCTTGAGGAGGGCGGTCCGGGGATCAGATGGCTCCTGTTCATCGTAATCAATATTGTCTTCTTCCCCTTCATTCTCCTCGGCAACGTCTACAGGACTGCAATCAAGATCATGGCTCTTGAGTGTTGTAGCAATCGCGAAATGTCGCAGTTTCTCCTTGCGATCCAGATGGCGACATATCTGTGGGCCGTAATCATTATTGTTTGTGTGTCATGCAGGGTCCTTAATTTCAGACACATGGGCGTGTTCAGTTGCATCCGCGGACCACTGGATGAGGGCGCCAACTTTGCGCGTACTGGACATGATGCTCTGCAGGAGTTCCAACTTAGGGATGAACCAATTGTCAATCGGCTTCTTCACTCCCATCCGTGCACCTAACGTCATGATAATATTCTTATTTTCATGAAAAGTCAAAAGGGATTGGTCAATACACGACAGTAAGTCGTCGTCAGGTGCAGGACACTGCGCCAAGTACCGGACATCCATGAGGGCATGTATTGCAATCACGAAGCAACGAGGAGCTACACCAGATATCAGGCCAACAATGTAGCGCTGAATGTCACAGTGAACTCTGCCTGTGACCTGCTTGAGTTTAGAAATTCCACCCGCGAAGTGGCGATAGCCTGTGATGGGCTGTAATATGGAGAACCTGAAATCTAGCTCCTGGGCACCAACAACCTTGAGACACCACTGAAGGTCATGGTCATAAAATTCCTTGTGCCAGTGATGTAGTGGTTCTGGCGTCAGGAAGATAGAGGGGTCAGCGTGGGGGAAGCCCTCCCAGAAAGGTGCATGAACACCATTTAGCCGATGTTCAGCGCATGCCTCAAAATACGCCTCGAGATCATTTGGATCAACTGTGATACTGGCAAGCTGAGCAAGAGTTATCACGCATGTATGAGCGGGGTGCCGGAAATGATCCCCAAACTGCAGATACGAAGCCATGGTGAAAGGAGATGTCTTCCCACGCACGCATGCAAGCATAGCTGCCTCTGGGGTATCGACGATGTACACTGCAAGAGGCGTAAAACAGTGTTGAACATTTCCCACCAGATCGGACATCATGATGCCAACTTCTGCTGCTATCATCAAGGGCTTTAGGACAACCAAAAGGCACTCATGCACCAGGCGGTCTTCAAGCATGCCATGCATCCATTGGTTGGGGTGTAGGTACTTTGGAATGGGGAGGAGAGCCGTGAGCATGAAGGCTTTTGATGAGAGTTTCGTACGAGTACACATACATATGTTGGCGAGGCCGAGAAGAAGTGGATGGGCAATCCTGGCACCAGTCATGGTAGTGATATTTGTTTTATTGGAAGATAAAACAGTACCGAGGATTGTAGCACCTCTAGGATATTGGCTCTGCAGGAATGATGGTAAGACAACGCAAAATGAGTAGACTGAATCTGCACATACCTGCATGTCCCAAGCAGAATTACCTGTCAACCATTCAGAATATACCCTCAGAAGCCGCGCTGCCATTTTGTATACGCGACGAGGGATGAAATCGAGCTTATCGTGAAACAGAGGATTGCTAAAAAGGCTTTCCAAGCATTCAATGGGATCTCTCCAGAATAAGCAGATAGGAAGTTTTGTAGGATGAATTGAGGGAATAGTCTGGCATTTCCAGCTTGGTCCGCTGGGGAGCATCTCGGCACAACTACGCAACTCTCTAGCGTTGCTGAATGATAGTTGTAAATTTTGGATCTGGAAGATAAGTTATAATCACTGTGTCAGAGTACAAACACATACCATGCGAAGCTTCAAAAATTCATCAATTGCTGCCATACTAAGGGATGAGCGAAGGAGATAGCCAGCGACTTCCCATTCCTCCTTGGATGCAAAAGGGTATAATAGATTGTCCTTCCTGTACTCCGCATACTCATCGGCGTTGAATACATCCAAAAAGGTCAAGCCATTTTTCGAATAACAAGCCCCGGCACCCTCATACTTCTCCTCCAAAGACTCCCCAGCTGCTCCAAAATCATCGTCGAGTGAACCAAAGTCATCGCCGATGTTCCAAAAGTCGTTAAATTGTAGTTGATCCTCGACGCGAGTATCTGGGTCAAGTTCTGGAGCTGAAGGTGAGACATCGCACTGTGGTAGTTGCACCTGTGTAAACTGTGAGATATAGACTATGTCATGCATGTAGCTGTGGCACGACATTTGGGGCTGGCTCAGATGCCGATGTGAAGAAGTAAAGGTGACTGGCCAGCAAGAAAGCTAGAGCACCAATAAAATCCAACTGAGTGCGGGTGTGCTGTCTCAACCCAAGAGGATTGCTATGAAGCATTTCCTTCAAGTAATATGCAAAGGGAGCAAACGTGGAACGAAATAGAACTAAGTTGACCTTGGAAAAGCGAGACTGCGGGTCCGGTGAGTGCACGATGAGAAAAGAGCTAAAGCGAGAGGATCCTAGGTAAAGAGCGGCGGGTTTCTAGGTGAAGCACGGTTCCGCAAGTAGCGGCTAGGTATAAACAAGGTTTGAAGCCGAGGTATAACTAGGTATGAAAAATGCTAAGTCGGAAACCAAGAGCGGTTCGGATCCGCGCAGAGCCTAGGTAAGGAAACTTAGAGGTGCATTCTCGGAGCAGTCAAGAACACACGGGTTCGAAGTGAGAAGTGAACAAAGCTTGTCAATTGATCAAATAATACTAGGAACATCTAAGTGACTCCGCAAAACAAAGGTAGTGTCTGAGGGAAGGGAAGTACTGTACTGTATGTAGTGCGAGGCTTTATCCTACTATGTGAGCGTCCGGAACCCGTAGGCGAGAACTGTAGCAATGAAACGAGGCAGATAAGTAATATGTAAGGAGAGCGCGCGCGGAACGGAATACGCAGTTACATGTAATAACCCTTGATAGCGCTTAGTCAAACTGAGAGAAAATGAACACGCACCAACAGAGATAGGCGGACATGGAAAGGACATGGATGGAGGACGGATCCAAGTACGGGTGTATGCCAGTTGGCTATCGGCCGAAGTAACTCCTAGAGTAGGACTGGAATGACACGGATCCAACAAGTTTCTATAGACCTTGATATGAGTATCGAAAGATGCTCGTTCCCACCCAGCACGGGTCCAAGCGTCACACCGAGTAACACTGCTGTCCTTGGTAGACGTTTTCCCGCACTTTGGACATGTTGACATCAGATTCAGACTCAAGAATTCACACAGTTGTAATGTATCGGTTTTACTCTGTCATGATATTTGTCACTCACATATCCATATCACTCACATATCATTCATGAACTCTCATAGCTTCAACTCGGAAACCTTTTCTCAATCTTTGTTCTCTGAATACAGTCAGCATCACACGGTTCTTCTAAACACATCTCCCAATCACCTCAGATCCATTCAAAAACCTTGTCAGCCAATGACCAAATTTTCGCCGCACAACTCATCAAGCTCAATCAGAGAGGAGCCTCATTTTCCTGTGAATACTCACCTTGTAAGGTCAATCATTCGTTGTGGTACATTATTCTTACCCGTCTTCGGGCAGGATGTAAACTAAGATAGGCGTCACTCTTATCCAGCACCGCTTACATCAGCACATTGAGAGCCTCGTCATTGCTCAAATTATGAGCACATATATTTGTTTTTGATGTATATGGATCCTAGGAACTATCTAATAGTAGTTTAGCTTGAATTGCCAGGAAACAGAAATAAAAAATATTCAAAACTGGAGGAGATTTTCATCCCCCAAAAATTTTTGTTCTATACAGTCAGAAAGTAGTTTACAAGGCCATGGGATGCGAGGGAATGATTTTCAAGTTTTCGGCACACCAACTTTTGGCCGCTTATATAATACATCACGTGATATGTGCCTGGGCAGGACGAGGAGGAGAAGGCAGCAAAAATCAGGGATATTACACACATAAAGCATCTCTCAATGGGTGTAAAGTCTAAAGCTAATAAGGCTCGTCTCAAAAATATTCAGTCTGCACTTTCCAGGTCCCACAAAGCCACGGTCGAAGATGTCTCTGACTCTGAGGAGGACTCCAGCTGCAGTGATTCCGAGGATGATATGGAGTTCAGTGTGGAAGAAGAGGGAGATATACAGGATGAAGCAGCACTTCTCACATTCTCAGAAATCCTCTTTCATGCACAGAATACTGCTGCCGAAGGGGAAAGACAGAGGTCAAAAGATACCGGAAGGCCAAAGCATTACACCGGAAACTCAACTCGGACTCTACGACGTCATGCTCTGAAAAGGAAAAGGATTGCGGGAACAAATCAGACTTTCATCAGCAGCTGGATTACAAAGAAGCCGGAATTCGAAGGTGTCCAAGTTGAAGGCACTGAATCTCCATATGAGGTGAGTTCTGATGTCATGGCTCGTGTGCATGAGCAAATCGTTTAAAAATAGCCAAGCCCTGTTCGAGAGGAGGAAGAAGAATCTTCCGAATCAGCATCAGATTCATCTGGGGATTCCATGGGAGAGAACCCATCTCGATCATCACCTTTTGAAATGTTATTCAGCGAACAGGAGGAACAAATTCAGAAAATGCTGGAAGACATCCGAAATGGACAGCCACCCTGCGATGACAGTCCAGAGACATTCACAGATTCAGTTCTCAATGCTCTTGATTACAAAGACTTCCCTGCCTTACATCGGGCTCGAGAAAAAATTGCAGCGAGCAGCAAAGACAAGAAGCTTGATGTGGTTTTCCGATCTCGCATCACAGCAATGCTTGGTGCTTTGAACCTCTACCTTGATCCGGAGCTGTCGTATGGTTGGCGTGAAGCATCTCTCGTGGCCTCGAAATCACTAGGCCAAGGAATCAATCATGCACGCAACATACGCACCTGGATTCATCAGTTTCTCTGTAATGGGAAGTTCCCTCTCCATCGATACGGTCAATACCACTCATCAATTCTTGAGGACGAAGACTTCGCACAAGAAATTCAACTTCACCTGTCCGAAGTCCAGCAACAGGAGGGCCACATCCGAGCTCAAGATATTGTGGACTATGTTGCCACACCAAAAGTGCAGGAGAGGCTTGGTGCAAAGGCCAAGGTAATTTCAAAGCGGACAGCGCAGCGGTGGCTGCGCAAACTCGATTGGCGTTATGGACGAAAACGGAATGGCATGTACATTGACGGCCATGAACGTCCTGATGTTGTTGAGTATCGCAATCAGTTCATTCAACGATGGCAGGAGTACGAGAAGAGAATGTTTATCTACGATAATGATGGCAACATTCAGTACACACCAAAGGGCTTCCCCGTCGCTCAAGCTGGCCGATTTCGTCTCATTCTCGTAACACATGATGAATCAACCTTTTATGCCAACGACCGTCGCAAAACGGGGTGGTCTCACTCAAGTGAGAAGGCCACTCCTCAACCCAAGGGCGAAGGACCATCATTAATGATTTCGGATATGTTAACGTCTGAATGGGGCCGGTTGCAGCATGGTGATAGGTGAGTGTCACAATTTGCAGCATTGCGTGAAATAATGCTGACTGCGTAAAATTTAGCGAGGCGCGGGTTATTTTCAAGGCGGGAAAAAATCGGGATGGGTACTTCTCCGCATTAGATCTGCTCAAACAAGTGGAGCACTCAATTGATATCTTCGACGACAAAACCAACGGCTTCGCAACAGGCTTGTTCATGTTTGACAATGCACCAAGCCACCAAAAACGAGCACCGGATGCCTTGTCAGCTCGGAAAATGCCCAAAAGACCTCACCAAAACTGGACGCACCATAAAGATGGGCCACACATGCGGAACGGCACATTCAACGGTCAATCACAGGAATTTTATTATTGCGACGATCACCCAACCATGCCTGGTTGGTTCAAAGGCATGGAAACAATCATTCGAGAGCGGAATCTCTGGCCTGCAACTGGACTCAATGCACAGTGCGAGGGATTCAAGTGCGAGCTTAACCGCACAGACTGTTGTTGCCGGCGATTATTGTTTTCCCAACCAGATTTCACTTCGCAAAAATCTCACCTCGAAGAATACATCACTTCCCGTGGCCACATCTGCGATTTCTATCCAAAGTTTCATTGCGAACTAAATTTCATCGAACAATACTGGGGCGCGGCAAAATTTCGATACCGAACGAGTCAGCGCACATGTGATATGGATGCGATGGAGAGAAATGTCATTGAATGCCTCGATGATGTACCATTACTTCAAATTCAAAGGTATTTATTTTCATTGGCTGTTCTTGTATGTACACTATTAACAATGGTACGCAACACAGATACGCAAATCGATCTGCGCGTTTCATTTCCGCGTATGTACAAGGTCTTACTGGTGGCGAGGCAGCTTGGGCTAACCGTAAATACCACGGACATCGCACTCTACCCCCCTCTATGATTCTTGAAGTTAAGGAGGCACTGAGAAAGGCCTAATGCACCAGTATATAGTGTTACTACATGTACTAATAACAAACTCGTCACTAATCTTTCTGCAGTCTCAATCTCAACTGTTGAAAATTTTCAAGTCGAAGGTTTGGCCATTTTTAGGGTTAGGGTTACGATTATGTAAGGGTGTTGGATACGAGTGACGCCTATCTTACTCTTTATTCGAGTCTGAAGGTGACCACTCTGACCTCGCCCTGGAGGCAGCTAAGGCGAAACGGAAAGTATGCGAGGCTGAGAAACATCTGGCCGATTGTATTCTGGAACATCAATCTATACTCCTCAGCCTGTGGCGCCATCGCGCGGAGGTAGCAAACTGCCATTTATTGAACGCGGATCTCAACGTTGGACGCATGCACATGGAGCGCAAGAAGAGTGGTATTGCAGCATTTGCTTGCTCAGACTCAGGTTTAATGGTAAGTGCTCATTTGTTGTTTTCGTTATCACTTATCACCAATGAGATGATTGCAGACAACCTCTTAACATTCATCTTCATCACAAACAATCCCGGCCACGTCAAGATATTTATTTATATTAGAAAACTTGTTTGATTTCGAGGTATATATGTTTTTCGCACTTCTATTATGATATTATTTCGAGCGCTACATACTTCGTTATGTTTGTTTGTTTGTGCTGCTTGTATCGCTCTGTAGATATTTGTAATGTCAAATGCTTGTTGGCTTGTACTGTTTGTGACACTTGTGTAGGTTCTGTATCTGTTTGTTACTGTTGTGACACTTTGTCACCAAATCAGTAGTTTGCTGATGTCACTTGCGCACAGAATTCTTCCCCATCGAAAATAAATTGCATATCACCTCTCGGTCAAAAAGCGATTGGTGAGAAATGTACAACTGAGCGTGACGGATCGATCGATGGCAGCTTTACATCATCGATTCGTCGAAATCCGACTGCTCAACGTTCAACAATCACTGTATCCTGCGTACCATGTTTTATTCTCACCCCTACCGCTCAAGTTGGACAGTGAATCGCAAACAATTTCCTCTGAGACTAACTTTCGCAACTACTTTCAATGGCTCCCAATATCTGTTCTCTCACCCAGCTCTGGATCAGAACTGATCCTTTTGCTCATTGTCCCGTACGTACTTATTTCATGAGTAAATGGAGAAAGATAACCTGCTTTTATAGTGGAATGACACGAGCAATAAAAAGCAGCAACCGAAGGTCACCGCCTGTAATAGAAAATAAAATAAAACACATCCACCAAGTAGCGTGTCAGAACAGTCTGACACAGGCCACATGATGTCACGGCCATGTGTGGTGGCTGCAGGCAGTCAGAGGGTGCATGAAATCATTCCCAGACGTTGTGGGCGACAAGAGGTGGTGGTTGGACATGGTTTGCCCGAGGTGTCAGAAGCACTTGGGCATTCAAGTGAAGGAAGAGTACAGTGAACATACACCATTTCGAAAGTGTTTGCTGAAAATGATATGGTACAGAATCGTGTATGAAGAGCTTGTAAAAGAGGACGCACCTGTTTCAGTCCGGGAACAGGTGCTTGCACATGCATAGAGGCTGATGGTCGCCAAGGGAGGCATCGGGGACAGGTGCATGCGGCGAGTTCCTGTGTCATTCACGTTGTGGACACTTGGTAATAGGTCTGTTCACCTCTGCAGTACATCTGCGCTCTGTCCCGTGTACCTTTCCCTGGTCTTATTTCTACTTCTTCTTCGAGCATTTTCTTGTTGGTACTGGGTTCACTCCAAGGGAATCCAACACTTGCTCCCAGAGCCTCCCATCTGTCGACCTTTCAAGCTTCATGCGCTGCGCTAGCTTACTAGTAGTAGAAAAGGACCTTTTGCTGCAGTGAAGACATGAGCCAGGTTACGAAGGTAACTTCCATGCTCTCGTTCTCTATGCAGACGATGTGGCAGTCAGCAATATCAATCGCAAGGGCCCAGATCATTCAAATTCCTGACTTTCTGAATACAACGTTCTCCTTCGGTTCTACAGAGAAAACGTCTTGTCATATGATTCAATGATCATTCGTCGTTTATCGGGGAAGGCTGTGACGAGCTGCAAATGTCGTTACAGCATCGTCATGATCTTCAAACGTCCGACGAGGAGTGGTCACTGGATTGATGTGGCCACAACGAGTCATCCGCCATCTGTGCTGGATTTTGAATCTTGATGGTATTATTTGTTGAGTATGGTTCAAGTGAACTTGCTCTGGCGACGGTGGGCGTCTTGTTTCTGGCTGCGGTGGTGTGTGCTAGTCCTCCTTTGTAACGTCAAACTGACTCATGTCCCATGTAGACGTTCATGAGGCGGTCCGCACGATGATGGTCTTGTTATCATACACATCTTCTTCGACAAAATGTCTTTATCTTGATGGCATCCTTTTACTTTCCTGATCCACCGCCCCGCCCGGATTTGACATGGGGCAGCCATCATTTCTTGGCAGCGGCCTAACACCAAGTGTTACAAGTGCTGCTAGTACTCCAACACGGCATCACCATCTGATATAGTTCCCTTTGGTCCCTGACTGCTGGCAGGTTGCTCCGCGATATCTGTGTCACGAGAACAGTTTTCTGAACTCCATAGGTAGCGTCATGCTATGACTCTGAACTTACTGTAAATTATTATCTGAATCCATTTTTCAACTGGGTAGGTTGTGTACTCTATCGATTGCTGTGCAGACAAAGCAAGCACCCGTCCATTTCCACTTCTACGACTCTGCGATTGTCGCGGTGTCAAACAGCAGTGCGACAACGAGCGATGATCTGCCAGCCAGCTGAAGTCAGCAACCGGCGAAATACTACCGAACTCGAAAACAAATCACGCGCTCTGCCCATTTCTCCTGCAGTACCGAAGTGGCGAGATGAGCAACTTCTAGTAAGTACTGGAGAGACTATGATACAAATGCAGTTTCTATGTATTCGTTGTAAGATGATTCCCACGGCGCGCTGGCATTCTCCCGTCAATATTCATCCAGGTGATGGCTTTGTAAAAAATTTACCGGCAAGCTAATTGCAAGTGCGATTCATGTGGTTTCTTAGCATCTGCCGCCATCCAGGAGTCCATGACGAGTCTTTGACGCGACTTCAATTGGGCCGCCTGGTTACCCGGCAGGATGGCTACACATAAAACAACCCTTCTCCGCCAAGATCATGTCGTGTAATCCCACCCTTGCGATCAAGATGTGGGCCCTCATGTTTCTGCTACTTGTGGGCATTGCCCGAGCAGCCACACCCAATGCCATGCTTCGTGGTATGCCTTCTCTCCCAAAAATTTCAGTGCCAGAACGTTCGTTCACTTCGCCGAATGGCACAATACTCCCAAACATTACGACTGCCTATTATTTTGACCAGCTCAGAGACCACAATAATACAAACCTTGGAACATTCAAGCAGCGATACTGGATGAACTGGGAGTTTTATGAGCCTGGTATGTCGCGAGGATCGAGATGCGCTTCAAGTGATATTGACGTGTGCATTCAAGGCGGTCCCATTATACTGATGACGCCTGGAGAAGTGAACGCAGATGGTTGGCTTGACTATAACCGATTTGCTACCTTTCTCACAAAGTTCCAGATTATCAAGTCTACATTACGAATGACAGCATCAACGGTCTTATTGCTCAACAACAAAAAGGTGCAGCCATCCTCATTGAACACCGTTTCTTTGGTTTTTCAAATCCATACGACAACCTCACGTCACAATCTCTGGCTCTCCTCACTGTTCAGCAAGCTATCGATGATTTAGTATATTTCGCCACCACCGCTGACCTTCCCATGCCTGGGGGTGATGCTGTGAAACCAAGTCAAGCACCATGGATATTGGTCGGAGGAAGCTACTCGGGAGCCCTTACCAGTTATACGATGGTTAAGTGAGTGCCACAAACTGATCCCGTTTTGTCAGTATGGTGATCGACTCAAAGCAAACCGGGAATCTTCTGGGCTGGATATTTATCTTCTGCTACTGTGGAAACGATCACGTATGTCACATCATTGCAATTATTGCTGACTCTCACTGATGTGATGAATTTCGACCTCTTCTTGACCAAAATTAGTGACTATTATGATTATTTCACCCCTATTCGCGAGCACATGCCACAGAACTGTTCTTTCGATATACAGGCAGTGATCGCCTACCTGGATGGGATGTATGCGGCTAAAGACACAGCTGGAATCAAGACGCTCCAGGAGACATTTGGCCTCGGCGGTCTTGATCATGTTGCCGATTTCGCCACCGCACGTGAGTGGTCCTTGCGTTTCGTTCAATCTTAAATCCATGCATAGAACGAACACCTATGTACCCTCTGATTCGCACAACGTCTTTCAGTTTGTTATGCCTTCAGTTTATTACCCTTTTCATTCGTGTTGTGTCAGCCGTTTGGATACAAACTCATATATTTGTTCTTGGACAATGTTTTTTGGCGTCCTAACTGACTCTGCTCGAACCAATAGTTGAAATCAACCTATGGGATTGGCAAGGTCTGGAACCTTATATCGGCCCCAAATCGATGTTCTATGAGTTCTGCGATGCACTCGAGGTCAAGGACGGTGTCAATGCCGGACCTGAGGGATGGGGAGTTGATCATGCTATTCGCTCTTGGGGCAACTTTTGGAATACTACATACTACAGTTATAGTATGTGATCCGTTTTATTTTTGATTGATATGGCTAATCTGGATGGTGAAGATTGTCCTGGTCAAGATGTCCAGTACGTGTTCTTGGGACGTGATATCGTTTGCACCTGACGGTGAAGACAGAACCTGTCTTGGGTCGTTTGACCCGACTGACATCTACTGGACTAACATTACCGTGAATAATGCCAACAGATCGTGGTTTTGGATGGTGTATGCATTCTCATCCGCATCAATATCTAATCTGACGATGTTACTAGGTGCAACCAAATCGGTTTCTACCAGACTGGGCCTCCTGAAGGCCAACCTGCGATCGTGAGCCGCATCCTCCAGCCCAGTTATGGAGAGGTACGTAGATTTGATCTAAGAAATGAACATTCATCAACATAATCATCAGCGCCAATGTGTAAACATGTTCCCTGAAGCATTCGCTTATCCACCTCAGCCTGCCACAGCAGAGACGAACACGATGTACGCTGGCTGGAACGTGAATGTCCCACGTCTCTTCTTCGCCAACGGCCTGCGTGACCCTTGGCGCGGGGGGACTGTCTCTGCTGATGGGCTGAATAAGCCTAACACGACTAGCATGCCGATCTATATGAGCGATGGATTCCATTGCTCGGATATGATAACGAGAAATGGCATTTTAGACCCGACTATCGCGGTCGTGCAGGAAGCAGGATTAAGGTACATGAAGGAGTGGCTTGCTGAGTGGACGCCGTCCACGTGATGATAGATTGAATCATTGGGACTGTGGTTAGCCAAGTTGTTTAACCTACGTTTGGGAAGAAGTGTCGATACCAATACAGAGCCCGTTTCATTTCTCGAGGCTTCCGAGGGCCCAGGCTGCAGCCACTCCATTTTCTCTGCAGTGTATGTGATTTCAAAGGCAAGATATTTCTCACAACCTGTTCGCGAGCCTCGAACAAGGCCATGTCAGATCAATAGTTCCAGCAAATCTACACTTACTGGCAGCGCAAATAATAATGGTGACATTTTCCCATGTCTTGCAATTAATGGGCTTGATTCTTTACCTACTTTGTCATCATGTTGTTTATGCTAAGGGCCTATCGCGCAAGATGACTTCTCTGCGTATTCATTACTCTCCGTGTCGTTTTTGGATTCGGATGCGTTCGACCGTCCTCAAAGAAGTATGTTTCGAGCGCTCGTGACTTTGGTCGAAGGCAACATGCAGGTCTCTACTGATGTTCTGTTGATTCTTCGCGACACTTTATCAGCCAGACTGTTGTCTTATGTCATGACGGGTTCGCACTTTGTCGCGATATTCTGTAGTCATCCTGAATTGCAGCTGCGCACCGTCGTGCGAGTGGAACCTGACAGAGAATCTTGGTACGTCCTTGGTTCTGTTGGTTAGTTGGTTGGTTGGTTCTGAATTTTGTTTTTCAGATTTAGGACGCAACAGTGTAGATGAGTGTCACGGTCTTGTTAATGAAGTTGCCCAAGCAGATTGTTGATTGGCAAATCTTGTCGTTGCTCAGGATGTGGTTCACCGGTAAATAGTCCATGATCTATTGATGATGTTGGCGTTGAGTCCCATAAGTCCCATACGAATAGATGAATGAGCAAAAGTACGAAGGCCAAGACAAGTCATGTGCATCATTGGCAAAGAGATGGAGGAAATGCAATGATATGGCCAATGCTGTAAAATAGTCGTCTACGCATCCAATATGTAGAATCTATCTTCGGCAGAATCAGTGTTGGCAGTGGCATCAAATATGAATATGAATATCACCGACTTCTTGGGGATGAATTTGTCGTATTGCCAAGAATTCTTTTTGATAATCCAATATCTACTTCCATTTTGAAGACCAACAACACCGTGGAATGAAGCAGAGGTCGCCATAGTAGTGAGGAAAGAACCGTAAGTAGAGGAGAGAATTATGAACACGCAGCGACACCGTGACAGCATGACGCGGTGGACCCAATAGCACCTAATGCTAGCGGTTATTCGTGCTTTCATACTGTGGAATAACATACCGTGACGTAGACCAGTAAATTTGCTAACTTCAATCATGATACGCACCGATGAATGCCCAAAGTTTGCCGCCATGATGCAGTACTCCGCGTCAAACTTGGCATAGTGGTAATCGTGCATGGTTTATTGGTACGTGCGCATTGCAGCGTTTGAATCGAGTTTTGTAGCAGTTGTCAAGTTAAGTTGCAATATACTTGGCGCTTCTTGATTCAGAGTCCATATTAGGCAAAGTGATCGCGCGCTTGACCGCAAAGTCCGAGTAGTACTGTGTGCATCATCACCACAGCCAAACCACAGCAGGTCATCGTGTATGCTCCCACTGACGCATGAGTGCTGCAAGAATCAGACGTCGCAACTTCTCATAAGATGTTCCCGTGGTCCAGCCTCGGAACCGGTCTCCGAGTCAGATTACCATGGCATTCAAACGGTGAGCGCCGCCAGCAAGTCGTTAGTGAGCTTCTAATTCACCACTGGCCTATCAGTATCGAGCATTTAGCAAGTAATATTCCAGGAGTAATCGATCAGAATCTACAATTATTCAAATCTCAGTCGTGCAAGCCACATTCAGAATATTCTGAATGCGATGAGCAAATCTACACGTACTGCGTCTTTCGCCAACTTCAGTTCGATGGGTGCATTTGAAAGCCATTGAGCAATCTGCTGCCAGCTATGTAAGTCCAATTCCATTCTGTGACTCATCTGTTGCTGGGTCTTGCTTGCGAAGCAAGTGGCACATGTTTCAGTCAGAACTTCGGGAGTGTGGTGCCTCGCCATGGCTATAAAAGGTCTTTTCTCGACCATCATCATGTTGTTGAGTGCCATCCCTGTCATCAATGTTCAACATGATGTGGGCCCTTGCGTCGCTGCTGCTTGCAGGTCCTGTCCGAGCAGCTATCCCCAACGCAATGCTTCGCGGCATGCCTTCTCTCCCAAAGCTCCCAGTGCCGGATCGTTTCATCACTTCGCCGAATGGCACAGCACTCCCACCCATTACGACCGTCTATTACTTTGATCAGCTCATCGACCACAATAATCCACACCTCGGGACCTTCCAGCAGCGGTACTGGATGAACTGGGAATTCTACGAGCCCGGTATGTCGTGAGTATAGAAGTGCAACTTCGAGTAACGTTACATCGCAGGCGGCCCCATCATTTTGACGACACCCGGAGAAGGTCCCGGGGATCGTCAGTTTACCATCCTTAATTTGTGACTTTCTCTCAAGCACTTGATTTTTAGGCTCCGAGGCCCTCATCACCAATGACACCATCAACGGTCTCATCGCTCAACAACAGAATGGTGCAGTCGTCAACATCGAACACCGTTTCTTTGGCTATTCCAATCCATACGACAACCTCACGTCACAATCTCTCGCGCTCCTTACCATCCAGCAGGCCATTGATGATCTCGAGTATTTCGCGAATACTGCTGACCTTCCCATGCCTGGGGGTGATGCTGTGAAACCAGGTCAGGCCCCTTGGATACTGACCGGAGGAAGCTACTCGGGGGCCCTCACAGGTTGGACGATGGTCAAGTGAGTAACTTGCCAGAAGTGAAACGTAGTTAATGATTCGTGTACAGCAAACCAGGACTTTTCTGGGCCGCATATGCATCTTCTGGGGTCGTAGAAGCAATCACGTACGTCATTTTATTGAAATCACTGCTCGTGTCTCATTGATGTGATTTTCTCCGACCGGCATGATCATCGGAATGTATTGCAACATGGTCATTCATTGAAATTGGATTTCATTCGACCAAAACAGTGACTATTATGGGTATTTCACCCCTGTTCGCGAGCACATGCCGCAGAACTGTTCCTCTGATGTAGAGGCAGTGATCGCCTACCTGGATTGGTTGTACGTAGCTAACGACACAGCTGGAATCCAGACCCTCAAGGAGACATTTGGCCTTGGTGATGTTGTACACGTAGATGATTTCGCCGCTGCAAGTGAGTCGTCCTTGTCCTGTATTCAGGCTTATGTGATTGCGTACAACAGACAGCATGGTTATCATGTCTTTCTATAGTTTATATTTCACTCACCAGCGCGCGCAGTTCCTCCTTTTCTTTTTGCGACATTTTTTTCTTAAATTTGGCTGCTGCTTTCTTGACTCGACTAACTTTGCTTGGGCCAACAGTTCAAAACAGCTTGTTCGAGTGGCAACATCTGCAGCCTGATGTTGGCCCAGGAGCAATGTTCTTCCAGTTCTGTGATGCACTCGAGGTCAAGAACGGTGTCAGTGCCGGACCTGAAGGATGGGGACTCGAACACGCCATCTACTCTTGGGGAAACTTCTGGAACACCACATACTACCAATTTAGTAGGCGGTCTCCTTGATTTCCGATTGACATATCTAAACTTGATAGTAAAGTCTGTGAATCCGTGGATGCTGAGTACGTATCCCTGGGATATAGTCATCCGGATTGGCTGACTGTGAAGCTAGAACTTGTTTTGGGACGTATAACACGAGCCAGCCCCACTGGACCAATGTTACCGTGAATAATCCAAACAGGTCGTGGGCTTGGATGGTGTATGTATTCTCATTAGTTCGAATATCCACTCTGACAATTATTCCAGGTGCAATCAAGTCGGATGGTACCAGGTTGGCCCTCCCGAGGGCCAGCCCGCAATTGCGAGTCGTATCGTCCAACCCATTTACAACGAGGTACGTATATTGATTGTATTCGAAACATGAGCATTCTTCAATATAATCTTCAGCGCCAATGCGTGAACATGTTTCCTCAAGCGTTCACCTATCCACCTCAGCCGACCACTACACAGACCGACACAATGTATGCCGGTTGGAACGTGAATGTTCCACGTCTCTTCTTCGCCAACGGCCTGCGCGACCCTTGGCGTGAAGCAACTGTCTCTGCTGATGGACTGAATAAGCCTAGCAATCCCAGCATGCCGATCTATGAGAGCGATGGATTCCACTGCTCAGATCTAATCACGGAGAATGGTCATGTAGACCCAACTGTCGCGGCTGTGCAGGAAGCAGGATTAAGGTACATGAAGGAGTGGCTTGCTGAGTGGAGGCCGTCCACGTGATACTAGATTGAAGCATTGGGGCCGTGGTTAGGTTTATATTACAGTAACCTACGTTTGGGAAGAGGTGTCGATGACAATACAGAGTATATTGCATTTCTCGAGGCTTCCGGGGACCCAGGCTGCAGCCACTCCATTTTCTCTGCACCGTATGTGATTTCAAAGGCAAGATGGTACTTCTCACAATCTGTCCGCGAGCCTCAAACAACGAATACACACACCTCTGCAACTTAGACTCGGAGAAAGACACAATCTCTCCAAAGTCCACCTCGACCGTGCTCAACACCATGAACCTCCAGTAAACTGTCGAATTAAGTCGACCACAGGAAGGAAAGATTTTGGGAGTGCGCTGCCACATAATGCTAGGTTCTTCACGTGGTGCCCAAAGTTTACCGCCGTGATGCAGTACTCCGAGTCAAACTTGACATAGTAGTATGTGCATGGTTCACTACGCGTGCGCATTGCAGCGTTTGAATCGAGTTTTGTAGCAGTTGTCCAGTTGCAATTTGCTTGGCGCTTCTTGATTCAGAGTCCATATTAGGCAAAGTGATCGCGCGCTTGACCGCAAAGTCCGAATTTTCGTGTGCATCACCACCACAGCAGGTCATCGTGTATTCTCCCGATCTCCTGCAAGAATCAGAAGTCGCAACTTCTCGTAAGATGTTCCCGTGGTCCAGCCTCGGGCCCGGTCTCCGAGTCAGATTACCAACGGTGAGCGCCGCCAGCAAGTCGTTCAAGTGAGCTTCTAATTCACCACTGGCCTATCAGTATCGAGCATTTAGCAAGTGATATTCCAGGAGTTATCGATCAGAATCTACAATTATTCAAATCTCAGTCGTGCAAGCCACATATTCAGACTCTGAATGCGATGAGCAAGTCTACACGTACTGTTAAATCCTTCGCGAACTTCAGTTCGATGGGTGCATTTGAAAGCTATTGAGCAATCTGCTGCCAGCTACTAGTGTAAGTCCAATTCCATTCTGGGACTCATCTATTGCCGCGTCTTGTTTGCCAAGCAAGTAGCACATCTTTCAATCAGAACTTCGGACTAGTGTGGTGCCTCGCCGTGGCTATAAAAGGTCTTTTCTCGACCATCATCATGTTGTTGAGTGCCATCCCTGTCATCAATATTCAACATGATGTGGGCCCTTGCGTCGCTGCTGCTTGCAGGTCATGTCCGAGCAGCTATCCCCAACGCAATGCTTCGCGGCATGCCTTCTCTCCCAAAGCTTCCAGTGCCGGATCGTTTCATCACTTCGCCGAATGGAACAGTACTCCCACCCATTACGACCGTCTATTACTTTGATCAGCTCATAGACCACAATAATCCAGACCTCGGGACCTTCCAGCAGCGGTATTGGATGGGCTGGGAATTCTACGAGCCCGGTATGTCGTGAGTGTAGAAGTGCAACTTCGAGTAACGTTGCATCGCAGGTGGCCCCATCATCTTGACGACACCTGGAGAAGGTCCCGGGGATGGTCAGTTAACCATCCTTAATTTGTGATTTTCTCTCAAGCACTTGATTTTTAGGCTCCGAGGCTCTCACTACCAATGAAACCATCAACGGTCTCATCGCTCAACAACAGAATGGTGCAGTCATCGACATCGAACACCGTTTCTTTGGCTATTCCAATCCATACGACAACCTCACGTCACAATCTCTCGCGCTCCTTACCATCCAGCAGGCCATTGATGATCTCGAGTATTTCGCGAATACTGCTGACCTTCCCATGCCTGGGGGTGATGCTGTGAAACCAGGTCAGGCCCCTTGGATACTGACCGGAGGAAGCTACGCGGGGGCCCTCACAGGTTGGACGATGGTCAAGTGAGTAACTTGCCAGAAGTGAAACGTTTGTTTCAGTTAATGATTCATGTGCAGCAAACCAGGACTTTTCTGGGCCGCATATGCATCTTCTGGGGTCGTAGAAGCAATCACGTACGTCATTTTATTAAAATCACTCCTCGTGTCTCATTGATGTGATTTTATTCGACCAAAACAGTGACTATTATGAGTATTTCACCCCTGTTCGCGAGTACATGCCGCAGAACTGTTCCTCCGATGTAGAGGCAGTGATTGCCCACCTGGATGAGTTGTACATAGCTAACGACACGGCTGGAATCCAGACCCTTAAGGAGGCATTTGGCCTCGGCGATGTTGTACACGTAGATGATTTTGCCACTGCAAGTGAGTCGTCCTTGTCCTATATTCAGGCTTATGTGATTGCGTAGAACAGACAGCGTGGTTGGCATGTCTTTCTGTCGTTTATATTGCACCGGCGCGCACAGTTCCTCCTTTTCTTTTTTCGACATTCTTTTTCTTAACTTCTTCTGCTGCTTTCTTGACTCGACTGACTTTGCTTGGGCCAACAGTTCAAAACAACTTGTTCGAGTGGCAAAATCTGCAGCCTGCTATTGGCCCAGGAGCAATGTTCTTCCAGTTCTGTGATGCACTCGAGGTCAAGGACGGTGTCAGTGCCGGACCTGAAGGATGGGGACTTGAACACGCCATCTACTCTTGGGGAAACTTCTGGAATACTACATACTACAAATATAGTAGGCGGTCTCCTTGATTTCCGATTGACATCGCTAAACTTGATGGTAAAGTCTGTGAATCCGTGGATGCTGAGTACGTATCCCTGGGATATAGTCATCAGGATTGGCTGACTGTGAAGCTAGAACTTGTTTTGGGACGTATAACACGAGCCAGCCCTACTGGACTAATGTTACCGTGAACAATTCAGGCAGGTCGTGGTTTTGGATGGTGTATGTATTCTCATTAGTTCGAAGATCCGCCCTGACAATTATTCTAGGTGCAATCAAGTCGGATGGTACCAGGTTGGCCCCCCCGAAGGCCAACCCGCAATTGTGAGCCGCATCCTCCAACCCATTTACAACGAGGTACGTATACTGATTGTATTCAAAACATGAGCATTCTTCAATATAATCTTCAGCGCCTATGCGTAAACATGTTTCCTCAAGCGTTCGCCTATCCGCCTCAGCCGACCACTACACAGACCGACACAATGTATGCCGGTTGGAACGTGAATGTTCCACGTCTCTTCTTCGCCAACGGCCTGCGCGACCCTTGGCGTGAATCAACTGTCTCTGCTGATGGACTGAATAAACCTAACACTACCAGCATGCCGATTTATCAGGGCGATGGATTCCATTGCTCGGATATGCTCGCGAAGAATGGCATTGTAGACCCAACTGTCGCGGCCGTGCAGGAAGCAGGATTAAGGTACATGAAGGAGTGGCTTGCTGAGTGGAGGCCGTCCACGTGATAATAGATTGAAGCATTGCCAGGCTGGGGCTGTGGTTAGGCAAGTTGTTTATATTACTGTAACCTACGTCTGGGAAGAAGTGTCGATGCCAATACAGAGTCCGTTTCATTTCTCGAGGCTTCCGAGGGCCCAGGCTGCAGCCACTCCATTTCCTCTGCACTGTATGTGATTTCAAAGGCAAGATACTTCTCACAATCTGTTCGCGAGCCTCAAACAACGCTACTTGCTGTTCATGACACCTTCATGAACAAATCTCGTTGCATTTATGTCCGTTTCAAGGCTAATGCACGACGTCTTATCCACAGGCACCAAGTCTTTCTCGAAATGGACACTCCGGAAGTCACATAATGCAAGTGGCCAATCTACAGCTGCATGCGATATCAGACGCCAAAGGTTTATGATTTGGAAGCGTCTGCAGAGGAGAGAAGGAGCTTCTGTTGGTGGGATATGCCTGTGAACACGAGCAATGTACGCCGCGGGCGTTTGGTCTACACGAGCCCGGGAGACTGGTTGACGTCTCTGTGGGTCATCATCTAGCTCGACTGGGCAACGGTGACAAATAGCTGTGACATGAAATGGGCATCGAGACGTCGTTTCAAATTAGTGGCCAACGTACTGTGATCGAAGATGACAACCTGGTTGCCCCTGTAAGCTTCTTGATGAGGTCGATGCTCTCAGAGGAATATTCACGCTCGATCTCATCATCGTTCAAGAAGCTGGTATTCTTCGCCGCTTCTCGCCCATACTTAAACCCGGCATTATCGAGCTTGTAAAGCTCCTCCTTCCCGCACATGTCCTCAACTTGCATACCATGCGGGTCCTCGATCCAGTTGCGGGCCGGCTTTCTCGTGGCGGTGTGGATGTCAGTGTAAGGCCGAGAGCCGTCAGGTGAAGCGAGGAAGTTGAGGGTGGTGATGGTGGTGTCAGAAGCTATGGTTAGTCTGCCGAGTGCTTGATGTAAAGCGGAATGGAAGCGTCATTGGTACCACGAGCAAGTTATGTACTACTTATATGTCTTCAAGAGCCGCGGACGCCGCCTAGCTTATATATCACCTTATTAACTATCCTGGCTGAATGCTCAGCGCTCACCCTTCAAGCTTCGTGAAAGTCAGGATCTGGCCGACTCTGGGACCAGTCTGGGGCTTCGGCAGCTGGATTCGGACGCAGTTCAAATATCGCTCGATGCCATGCGCTCATCATCACCATCGCGCAGCCCGCCAGTATAAATGGCTCCCGCCCGCCATAGTATGCTGTTGGAATGTTACATTCGGGTTCCACTCAAGATGCACATTATCAGTACCTCTTGCCCGTTTCCCGTCCACCCCCCTCCTTACCACCAGCTTCCTTTCCTACCTACGCAACAGCCCACCCGCATGCCTGCCTCATTCCCTGTCAGCGTGCGCCCTGTGATTGATGGTAGGGCACCAGGTGCAACAGTAACAGAGAACGTATGAGGCTGGGGGTTGGAGTATGTTATGTTTAAGGCACTCGAGCAGCGTAGGAAGCGTTGAAAAGCCATATTGCGGTATCATTTAATTAGTTCTTGAGAGTGCGTGAGGGCCAAAGACATAGATATACTCGTGATGTCCATGATATAGGCTCGTGCATTGCGCTAACACGGAGGGAGGGGAGTGACACGTGACGCTTTGCCACTGAGCAACGTTTAAACTCCGCCTGAAGCCAGCCCAGCGGCCCCAGCCTGCGAGTCTGTGACTGACCCACTTTCTACGTAGATTCGAATAGCCCCAGGGCCGACCATTTCCCGGACGTTCTCTAAGCTTCAAGCCAATATTATCATTTTGTTTTGCTACGCAGCCGTGCCAGACACAAATGTGTTTGCGACTGACAGTCTACGAGCCTGGAACAGCGCAACAAGGGCGGCCTTCAAGCTGTCCATGATACGGTTGTAAACAGATCTCGTTGCATCAATGCACGACGTCCTGTCCAGCCAACCAAGGTCGTGTACCCCAGTGATTATTCGATGACACACCACATTATGTTACAAACGTGTCGTGGATGCGGGAAGGCAGTCTTCACGCTGTTCACGATACGTTTGTAAACAGATCTCGTTGCATCAATGCACGACGTCCTGTCCAGCCAACCAAGGTCGTGTACCCCAGTGATTATTCGATGACACACCACATCATGCTCACGTATGTACGTCGCTCATCTACTGTTTTTCTAGACTCGATGTTCTCAATCTTCTAAGTTCTGCACGACTCAATCCTCACGATACGTTATCACAACCCCGCGTTTTTCACTGGGCCCGAAATATTTTCTCTGCCAGACACAATAATGCAGAGATCGAGTTGCGCGAGTATCGCTCAGTGGCAGTCGTTGATGTTCCGTATGCCAAGGGCAAACATGTATATCATTTTTGTCCTTCCGAATATTCGAACTCCATTCCATCATGTAGAGGAACGCATCAGCAAGAGAGAAATGGAGGACCATCCTGAAAGATACTGCAAGTAGTTCGCCTCCTCACAATAACAACATCATACAGTGATGCAGTGACACGGCTCAGGCACAGTCATACTCGTAACCACAGGACGCGATGCTATCTCTACGTCATCCGCCACACCTGGTGCTGCGGCTCTTCGAACACCCATCCTCATGTAATAATAAAACACGCTGGACTCGGTTTCGGCTCTCTTGATGGACCCCTTCTAAATATATCGACAGTCGTTATTAATTCAACCGGTCGTCTTTGACAAAGATATCATTTGTCCTCTGGAATACTACGACACTCATCTCATCCCTCGAGCCCATTCAACGTTTGTTTCTTATGACATATAAAGGTCAAGTGCGCTGATCTTACGAGCCGTTGATCCTTGTCGCATACGCAGGTCGCACTGGAAATTGTTCCCAGAATACGGTGATGTGCATGCGCACACACGCATTCTGTACCAAATCATCACACAGGGTCAAGAAGAAAACTGTTTAGGGCAAGACAGTTGATCCCTATCAACGTACGCAATGGATGTGTTGGTTTTGAACAGCAGTCCATATGGGAAGATTTGAAGATCAGAATGACTGGTGAGAACACAGCTGTGTTCGATGCCCCTCCTTGATGCCGAAATTAGGCTAAGTTGTGACCTCGGTGATATCATATATGCGCGCATTAACCGTAATGGAACTCAATTTTAATCCGTCCGCGTGTTACAGTCGATTCATATGGCTAGACGCCAGACATTGATTCAACAGCAAAATTTTTATAAACCACTTGACCCATCGCAATTCGCGTACTACGGCCCTGTACAGTTATGGCCTCTCATCAAATAGTCCGCGCATATAATACGTGTCCTGGTCTTGGATTTAAATGCGTTGCATCGATCTGTGGTAGGCGCTGTAAAGCCCTTTTTCGAGGAATTCAACATACTGAGCATGAACCACGGAAATTACCTTGCGCCACATTAAGTCGTGTGGTATTGCCTGCTGTCGAGAAGCGTCCTAAACTTCGTTATGAAGCTCTGATAACTCATTGGAGCTTTCGAAAGAAACCCCTATACAGGCTAAACAGTGCCACTGAGTCTAGACAACTGCTGGCACCAATCTCTGATAATATACATGTATCATATTTGGGTATGCTCTAAAAACCATCGGCACGTTGGCTGTACATGTGCTCAAACACAACCTGATCGAGTAGCGAATTACGCAATTCATTACGATTCCTCGAAAGTACATATACGTGAGGGGGGCGAACTGGTGCCAGTCTGCCGTCTGTATGCCCGCAACTTTGGTGGTAGAGTCTTTTCGAGTGCGCACCAAGCGAAGAGAGGGGGCATCCACGCCCAGGACAATATTTCTACTGTCGCCAAGAATTGAAGCCACCACAGTCCAGAAGCGTAACACGCGATCATAAGAGCTATAGGATGCTATTAGATCAATCTCGGCATCAATATGGGACCACTTACATGACATCAAAAAGATGATAGAAAGCGTGAGAGATACAGTCGGCCAGGCGATAAACATGAGTGTACAGCACAGTCGAAAGCGTGTGGCCGTCAGAACCTGCAAGTTTGTGAATACGCATAAATGCAGTCAGGTCTGCTACAAACTTCTTTAGCCCATATACGATCACAGGCTTCCCATATGTTGACTACAGCTAGACCAGTAAGCAGGCCACCGAGGGCATGCGCAAAAGATCCGAGGGCTAAAAGATAGCAAACGCGTATGGTGTACGGAAGAAACGATGTCAGAGGCGGTTGTGTTGAAAGAAAGACCGCCGAAGTAGTGAGTACCTGCAATTCAGTATTAGATTTCTTTCCTTGACCCCAAGAAGTACTACATGCCAAGCCTGCCTGCAATTTCATAAATCAGTCCATGGTTAGGTCATATCGATGTTCCCTACCGCTATGTTAGTATTACTCAGTCTTTCAATAAAACTCTTCCTATGTTTATCCCATTCATCATCGTTGATCTTGGACTTCCAGTGATGTTCGAGAGACGGTCTTGACATCGAGATCAGACAGAGTATACGAAACAATGTGGACAATATAGGATGTTCGTTAAAATCTGGAACCGCCCAATAATCTGGTAGCGGCTCGGGTGACCTACAAAACTTGATTAATCAATAATCCGAGAGCAGTGGGGTTACTTGCTGATTGGTTTCGTTCTCCATTCGACGCAGTGGATGAGAACAGTCCTGCGGTCCTTAAGTTGAGGTTTCGTCCTCTTCGGTGAAAGCGGAGGCAGTCTTATATAGTTCGCTGTAAAGGATACCATACGTAAGCATGTCGTGCTGGTGCTAGCTAGGAAGGACGACAACACACACGACCAAATATTACCAGGTGGGGGGCGGCGATCTGCACAAACTGCATGTCCACTAGTAGTACGCCATCGATTCACTTGAGAAACATGAACCTCATTCACGAACTTCGCGAACCACAGATTCTTGATAACCCTGAAGTACTATATCAAATTCATAGACAGTGTTAGCAAGTCTTCAGAATCCAGAACATCCAACTTACATGATTTTGACATCATATCAATCAGTGGAGCGTTGAATCCACATGACGTGCTTCCGTAGGAAAGTGCCAGAGTTAGGGAAGTGGCAACTGACAAAATTGGATAACAAGCGCCTCTAGACGACATGGGGTGTAAGGGGCGTGCCCGAGACTTGTAAGGGCAAGTAATGACGTTACAGCAGAGCGCTTCAAGTGGTGGAGAAAGTTTGAAACGCCTGTGCTGTACCCGGACAGGCTGACCGCGGTGTTCGCACTACATGATGGTAGCGCGTTGTGTTGTAGTAGTATGCTGCTTTATAGCACTAAGAAAATAGCTCGTTCCCTGTTTCAATGGAGTAAGAAACTTGGTAACTTATATCAATTAAAAGAATGAACAACCCACCGGTGATCAACGTTTCAACGTTGACCGGTCGACCGGCCAGTGGTATACCGTGAACTACTCAGGCTAGCCAGCTAGAACCAGCTGCCAGTCGTTAGAGGTGCCATTGGATGTTGTTGTCCTTGATTCACAACACTGTACTGTAATTAACTTATGTCCAAAGTTTGAACAGCCAGCCTGACTCTTAAAGTATAGCTAGTGACGGACTCCGGATCCAATATCGAAGAGAACTAGTAGCTTGTGACACGTATGATGATGTAAGTCAGACATGTCTAGTGCGTTCGAAGTAACTCCGACAAGCTAAGATCATGTTCTTCTGACTTCTGATGCAGAATGCATTACACTCGACTTGCCAGTGACTAGTAGAGACTATTGGGTTGGCCAATTTACTTATCAGCAACACTAGTACTAATAGCCAGAGGGCCTTCATGGTGTTGAAGGGATAACGAACTGGCACTTAGTCAACAAGAAAATAGTTGCAGCAGATTCCCGCTACACTCTCGGCAGTACGACCCCGGCGGGCCTGTGTCAGCTGCACTAGTCATACTCTTCCTGACCTTTGCCCAAAAGAGCAAGGCCAAGGGCAACTTTGACCGCGGTACAATTGGTCTTCTCCAAAGGAGCTTTCCTCAGTAGTCATGTTGGCCGTATACAGTCTTTCTCCTACCAACGACACATACCTGGAAGATCAGAAGACTCAAATTAATTACCAGGGTCAAGCCGCTGACCCTTGAGGTACATTTCATCACAGCGGTGAGCATCTAAATATCATACTGCTGAGCAGTATTCACCATTCAAATCCATCTCAGCTGTGCGAGCCGCAAGTCCAGGCTTTAGAGAATACGTAGTACTGGGTCTTTCGCCAAGTTCCTTTTGATGGACGACCACGGTAAGGCCGTCGAGCAACCTGTATGTCCAAAAATATCCTCTTCAGGCTTCTCTTACGAAGCGAGTAGCAAAGTTGTCAAATTGCAAGTGTTACACTACCCACTTACGCATCCAGCCATGGCTACATATAAAAAGCGTTTCCCGGACCACGATCATGTTATCTCACCCCCCCACTGGCTGACATGATGTGGGTTGCGTTGCTCATCCTTTCAGGCCTTGTCCGAGCAGCTATCCCTAATGCCATGCTTCGTGGCATGCAGTCTCTCCCCAAGCTCTCAGCACCTCAACGTTCTGTCATTTCACCAAATGGCACAGCACTCGATATTACGACTGTTTATCACTTCGACCAGCTCATCGACCACGATAATCCAGGCCTCGGAACCTTCAAGCAACGATATTGGATGAACTGGGAGTGTTATAAACCTGGTATGTCGCGAGGATCAAGGTGCGCTGCAAGCGATATTGACGTGTGCGCCCAAGGCGGTCCCATTATATTGATGACGCCTGGAGAAGTGGATGCAGATGGTTGGTTTTACTGTAACCAATTTGTTACCTTTCTCTCAAAGTACTTTATTTCAGGATACGAAGGCTACACTACCAACGACACGATCAATGGTCTCATCGCCCAAGAACAAAATGGTGCAGCCATCCTCATCGAGCACCGTTTCTTTGGTTATTCCAATCCATACGACAACCTCATGCCAAAATCCCTAGCTCTTCTCACCATCCAGCAGGCTATCGATGATCTCGTATATTTTGCCACCACAGCTGACCTTCCTATGCCTGGTGGTGATGCTGTGAAACCAGGTCAGGCTCCATGGATATTGATCGGAGGAAGCTACTCGGGAGGCCTCACAAGTTGGACGATGGTCAAGTGAGAATTTGAAACACAATTTGATGTTTCAGCATAATGATTGACGTAAAGCAAACCGGAAATTTTCTGGGCTGCATATGCATCTTCTGCCGTCGTAGAAGCCATCACGTATGTTACATCACTGTGCATCTCCAATTAATCTGATTGATTTCTCGTTATAATTAACGGAATGTATCCGCATATGACGTGTCCGTTCGTTGAAATTGGCCTTGGATCGCTGTTCTCTGACCCAAACAGCGACTTTTATGGTTATTTCACACCTATTCGCGAGTACATGCCACAGAACTGTTCATCTGATGTACAGGCAGTGGTTGCATACTTGGATGAGATGTTCGCGGTTAATGACACCGCTGGAATTCAGACGCTCAAGGAAACATTTGGCCTCGGCGATGTTGTACACGTAGACGATTTCGCCAGTGCACGTGAGTCATTCTTGTCTTTTCAGTTTTTACATATGTGGTTGCGTAGAACGGGGCATGGTTGGTATGCCTTCTGATCTATGCAACATCTGTAGTTTATATTGCCCTCACCAGCGCGCACAGTTCCTCCTTTTCCATATGCTTACCTCAAATATTCCTTTTGTGACATTCTTTTTCTGTTGCCTTCTTGACTCGACTGACTCTGCTTGGGTCAACAGTCATGTACACCTTGTACGAGTGGCAATCTCTGCAGCCTGATGTTGGCCCAGGAGCAATGTTCTTCCAGTTCTGTGATGCACTCGAGGTTGAGAACGGGGTCAGTGCCGGACCTGAAGGATGGGGACTCGAACACGCCATCTACTCTTGGGGAAACTTCTGGAATACCACATACTACAACTTTGGTAGGCGGTCTCCTTGAATTCTGATTGACGTGGCTAAACTTGATAGTAAAGTCTGTGGACCCGAGGATGCTGAGTATGTACCCCTGAGATGTAGTCATCCGGATTGGCTGACTGTGAAGCTAGAACCTGTCTTGGGACGTATAACACGAGTCAGTCCTACTGGACTGATGTTACCGTGAACAATCCAACCAGGTCGTGGTTTTGGATGGTGTATGTATGCTCATTAGCTCGAAGATCCACTCTGACAATTATTCTAGGTGCAATCAAGTCGGATGGTTCCAGGTTGGCCCCCCTGAAGGCCAACCTGCAATTGTGAGCCGCATCCTCCAACCCATTTACGACGAGGTACGTATATTGATTGTATTCAAAACATGAGCATTCTTCAACATAATCTTTAGCGCCAATGCGTGAACATGTTTCCTGAAGCGTTTACCCATCCACCTCAACCGACCACTACACAGACTGACACGATGTATGCCGGTTGGAACGTGAATGTTCCACGTCTCTTCTTCGCCAACGGCCTGCGCGACCCTTGGCGTGAAGCAACTGTCTCTGCTGATGGACTGAATAAGCCTAGTAATCCCAACATGCCGATCTACGAGAGCAATGGATTCCATTGCTCAGATCTAATCACGGAGAATGGTTACGTAGACCCGACCGTTGCAGTCGTGCAGGAAGCAGCATTAATGTACATGAAGGAGTGGCTTGCTGAGTGGAAGCCTAATGCTTGATTATTTGTATAGATATATTTCTGTGACCAACCCGGTTAATAATGACTCATGCTGTTTTATGTTTCAGACTTTCAGTGGAAGAATTCTGGTGCGTTCCGAGCCGCACCAGGAATTAGCGCCCGCCACATTCGGTCATATATGCTGGCGCCCCCAGAATCAGTTCGTAGACGTAGATAGCTATAGGTTGGTCCCCTCATTTCTGTTTCAAATTTGGCCTTGGAGTGTCGTGGAGGCTCTCGACCTGGAGGAGATGCCGATGATTAATTAAATTTGGGGTCATCTCAACTTTCGACTACTTGGGATACCATTTTAGAAGGCGGCGCTTGGCCTGGGAAAGGTAAATTTCACGGTACAGCAGTTCGACTTCGACTCCAGCTCGTTACATATTCTTCCTCTATTCCTCTACCTACCTGGTGCGTCCCCGCGATCTCTGTTATCCCAGGCTACGTATTACGTCCTGGACTCAGATCACATCGAAGCATCTGCTCGTGATCCATGTAGTCGATATCAGATTGCCTGAGACCGCGATAACCGCTTAGGCCCCCTCCGACTATCAGCAACTGAAACCTTGTAGCCGACATTCCGACATCCGTGAACGTCAAAGTACAGCATCTGGACTTGTTAGCACACCAGTTTTGACATAAAAGCCTCGGATAACAGGCAAAGCTTTGGGGTCTCTGAGACTGTCCATTTGATACCACGGCGCTCCGATAAGTTGATATTGGCCCTCCCAGCTACATCTTCGGAGCGGTACGCGTTTAGCTCGTGTATATGACAGTCCTATTTCAAGTTAGTCGACAGTACATACAAACTCACCTCATCCCATAGGATGGCACGTCTCAAACGGCAGGCCGCCCGGAATGGGAGACTGATGGGCCACATCAGGGTATTCGTGTACCCAGAGATGCGACTGAGACATCAGATTAGATAGATAGAGTGTATCTCCCGAAAGGACAGAAATTGGAATAGATCAAAAATCTTCAGAGTGTGACAGCCTGAGTGTACGCATGGAGGAGACGGAACATTGGCTACAAGTTTAAGGCGACATGAGTCAAATGCTCTTCATAATGGCATCAAAGTTGCTTTCACAACCGTTCTGTGATACTAGGTCGCGGTACTGAGTATAGTAGAGCTCCAAAACTGCTCGAATGCATCTCGCGAAGGAGAAGGCTACGCATGAAAGTTTTTTTTCAGTCAAGACAAAAATAAAGTGACTGCATACCAGTCGAACGAGCAACAACTCGGTCCAAGGGAACTTAATCCTTGATCTGGGCAGAGTGGCACACCTAGCACAAGTTGATGACATGGACATTTGGTGCCTTGGCACATGTCAGGCTGCCTCTTGAGTGCAAGGACAGCAGGTGACACGAGATTTGAGCAGAAATAACCAAGGATGCGCTCGTATGTTAAACTGCAGCTTTTATGCAGCGAGCTGGATGATAATTCAACTATTTTGGCAACCACGAATTTGTGCTCACCCTGAGCCACGGCGCACCGTCGCGTCGGCTAAATTGTCCCTATAGATGGCGTAACTGTGGATCAGGACCGAAGCAAACTAGAGAGCCAACGACTCGTTCTGTGGGAAAGCCCTACGGCTTCCGAGCATCCGAGTGATATATATGTTTGAGAGACCGGTCGAACTGCAGGGATGTGGTCAAAAATACTATGTGATTGCTGAATAAACAGAAATAGAGGCTGAGACAACAGAACGCGGACTCTAGGGAGTAGGGTAAGCCAACCAGCCGAAACGCTGTATAAACGATGAGTATATAAGGATTAGAAAATGCACACCGACCACCATCAATGACCAGCGATCTACACTATGAGGCGACATAGATATAATATACGCAAAACAAAGCATCATAAGGGACAAGAACAGGGTTGCTCGTAGAAAAGTGTTTTAAACAGATCATAGTACTGGGCAATACGCATAGCGAAGATATCAAAAAGCAACAAGACAAACCTAATATTGACATGGAAGACGTGCAAAGCATGAACTGGGGTAACCAAGAGATGAAGAGATAGAGGAATAGATAGTTCACAAACGTGTTGAGCTGATGGATAAAAGTGCTCAACAACTAGTCCCAGACCGATCGTCGGTCAAACATATAGAAAACAAAATGATCACAGGAGTGACCTGTCGTGAAGGTGATGCGAGTGGGGTTATGGACAAAACGGGACGAAATGATTTTGCAGAGCTAATGACAGCGATGACATTGAAGTCATTTTTGGAGAGACGACGTTCATAGGAGAGTCGGGTCATTCGCGAGGGGGCTGCTCGGGTGACACGGGCCAAACAGGTTCTCTATTTCTGTCCTTGTCGCCAGAACGAGTCAAAGGCACCGCGGTGGATGAGACTGTAGTCTGCTGTGCAGGCTGTTCAGGGGAGGGATGAGAATGTTGAGGAGAATGCTGCTGTTGCTGCTGATGTTGCTGCTGGGAAATGTTCGCCATGTCGTCAAGACCTCGCTTGACACCAGCCATCAAAGCATCCGTTTTTGAGATCATGTCCTCTAGCCGTTTCCGGTGCTCGTGCAGTTCAAGGTAATGTTGCCTCAACTCACTCGCGGTTGGAACACCTGGGGTCAAGACACCGTTCAAAACATCATGAGGCGGGGGCGAATGGCCGAGGGGTCCGTAGTATCCATGACCCATGCCATGAGGCGGCGGTAAGACGTACCCTGTACCAGGAGCAGCAAGACCAGGGTTTAACGGTGAATGCGTCCTGCTTGGCGCATTGGAACCAGAGCGCATATAACTAGATGGCGTTCCTCCGAAATCACGATTACTCAAGAGACTAGGGGGTCCGTAGCCGCCAAACCGTTCACCGAGAGCGGCATTGAGAGGAGGGAGATCGAATCCGGCATGTGGCGCTGCCATGAATGCGCCATGGCCCGATCCAGTGCGTGCAAGATGGTGAGCATGCGCAAAGCGTTCCATATCGGAACTGCGTGGTAACGAATGGGCACGATCACCGGTGACGCCACTCAGAGCCTCTGCAATCTGCTGTATGCTCGTGCCTTCTGCCCATGCGGAACCATGTGAGTCGCGGGAAGCTTTCCGCGTAGTCCGCTCATTCTTCCGCCGACTGACAGGTTCTGGTTCCTCTTCTGCCTCTCCCATATCTTCATCGTCATCCTTTTCGCGCAAGCGGCCCTTCTCCCGATCGCTCTTTCCACGTCGTGCTCGCTTCCGGCGAGGTTGAGGCTCTTCTATCTCACCATCACTCTCCTCGGTGTTCGCGTGTTGGCTACCAAGACGGCCGACTGAGACGAGTGCCTCAGCCGCAGCCTGATCTGACATGCGCCCCGACGACATCCCTGCGGCCGCTGGGACGCGTTTCCGTCGCTTGATGACAGTCTTTTTCATGGAGTTGGGACGATGTGTGCCATGAAGCTTGAAGTAAAGACCTGGACAGCAATCCAATGGTTAGCGCTGAAACCGACCAAACGATGATAAGGCAAAAAAAAACAATGATGTGTCAAATCAAAATGGTCCGGCGGATGCCAAGAACATTCATCAACCAATCCAATATGGCAATACGCATCCCCACAAATCGTGAGAAGGAAGATAAACCAAAAGGATAAGTTGAATTCCCATTACGCGAATGATAAATTGGGCTGGCGGGTACCCTGATTCTAGAAACGAGGTATAGACACGCGCGACAATCGCGAGATGAACGTGCGTTCCGCAAGAAATTTTACAAAGTGAATGGAGTTTGCGGAGATAAAGCCAATGGCCGCGCCAGATACGAAGTATGGCAAGGGCATGTAAACTGAAACGAAAGCTGAAACGCACCACAAGCATTGCAGATATTGTTACCAACATCATCTCTTCTCCACAACGGGGTTGTACTCGTACCACAGTTAGCACAACTGAGCGCTCCGACAGTAGATTTGACCTTCTTCGCAGGCCCTGACGCTGGGCTTTCAGTATCGACACCGGGTGACGGTGCATCACCAGTGGGAGTGACACCTCGCGCGGGCGCGGACGGTGATGATTCGTCTGCAGGAGCCGTCATCTCTAATCTTCCTGATATGGCGAGTGCGTTATTGAGTGTGGGACACCCTGCACAAGCACTAGATCCTCCAGTGCCATCACATCGTCCGTCACCTGGACACGTGCCTCCAATCGAAACATTGTGTGCACCTGAGGCAGATATAGACTTGGCGGGGGTCGAAGTTTTCGAAGAGGGTTTTGCCTGAGGCTGCCCAGAGCTCTCAGTTTGAGATGATGACAATGCTTCCTGATTTTTCGACGATTGGGGTTGGCTAGGCGATGTCGCTGGTACAGCCAAAGATGCCTGATTTAGGTTGGACATATCTGTTTCCCCACTTCCGTTTGGGGGTTGGCGAGCAGGGGCTGCAGCTGTCGCAGTGGGCGTTGGCGTGCGAGCCAGGGATGGGGGACGTGCGACTTTGCGTGATTTGAGGTAAAGGCCTACATGGAATAAAGAGCAAAAACCCAAGCGATGCGCACACGAGTTGCACACATTTCAATCAGCACACTGTTACTGCACTACCAAGCGGTAGGTAGGGAAAGAAACGTAGGAAATGACAATGGCCAATCAGCATGTTGACCGGCAGAAGCATGCACGGAACACGTTTCAGATGCAACGGAATGCTGCGAATGTGATATGGAGTGCACGGGGTGTGTTTTGGAAACGGACGCCCACGAACCCACCAACCACGGGTTGACACGTGACGGCGTAGGACGGGAAATGAAAGAGATGAGATGAAGAGAGATCACTCACCACAAGCATTGCAGATGGTTTTGCCCTCGGTGTCGCGTCGCCACAGGGGCGTGTCAACGACTCCGCAATTGGTGCAACCAGTACGTTGCTGTTGCTGTTGCGCCTGCTGCTGCGCCTGCTGCTGCTGCTGCTGTTGAGGCGCGTTCGGTGTCGACGTTGGCTGGTCTTCTACGACAGGTTGGAGGCGCTCTTTTGACTGCAAAAGCTGCTCAAAAGTAAAGTCGCTTGGGTTTATCTTCTGCTGAAGGGAGCCGGCAAGGACCGGCGAGGTAGACAAAGAGTCGCGTTGTACTGCAGCGTGTTCTGAGGCTGTGCTGGGCGAGAACTGCTGCTGTATCCGGGAGAGGGTAGAAAGCGCAGGATGATGCATGTTCAACGCAGGGGGTTCCATTACGATTGGCGACATTTTTTTTTATCAGACAGTAGTAAGATAGACAATATGTTGACTGTAACACGTTGAAACGTCAGCTGTTGTGTCAAGACCGCGGAACCATGAGATCTCACTGATGCAGTACAGGTCGATGATGAAAGATGCGTGGTCGACGTGGACGACGGTGAGGAGAAGGGTATTGTTGTGAGCGAAACACGTAGGGGGGGAGAGAAATAAACGGACAGAGGAGAGTCGGGCACCGCAGTGTTTATGATTTTTGGTATTGGCGGGAACCGATAAACCCAAAAGATAACGACCAAAAACTAAATCCAGCCAATCAGATTACACCTGTTTCAAAGATAACAAACATATTTCCTAATCATCCCTGCCCCCTCTCCGCACCCTGGCTATGTTTTTTACTGATTTTTTTACTATTCATCCTTCAGAGAATATAGCAAGAGGGCAGCAAGAGTTGCAAGTACTCTGTAGAATAATAAAATTTTATCGTTTGAGCGTCTATCATAAAAGATCAAATATTATTGCATTGTACGTATACTTTGTTCATGTTGACCTTGTGGCACCGATGCTCCCAGGGTCTTCCCTAATCTTATCTTAATTCCCATTCACTATTATTACCGTTTCCCAATTACAGATCATTCAAAGGAAGTACCTGGTCAATTTTTCAGCGCCCGCGTCGTCACGATAGCCATGATTTCTCACCTATTGCGTTGTCTCGCGCCATATACGCGAAGAGAAAAAAACGTGGCGAAGCGTGTGCTCACGATACCGCCTACCCTATTATCACGACACCGGCGAAATTGTACGTCGCGTCCGGACTGCTAAGAGTTACACTATGTGGCAGCATGCGTACGTCAAACGCATAAGTGTATACGTCAATTCCTAATAACCTTCCGGCGTTATAGATAAGATTACAAGATTCGCTGACTTTACAGAATTGAAAATTTGCCTCCGTTCTCGATCTTCCGATCAAGAGTCCGCTCACCGGAAGAGCAGAGCTTCGTCGAGAATCTGATTAACTTCCCTTTTCCGTGGGGTACTTATCAGATAACGCGCATTTGACATCCACTTGCAACGTTTCGAACTATTCAAGTTCAGCACGCTGGCAAATAAAACATCCGTTACCTACAGCCTGAACCAAACCTTGTCTATGCATGGCCAATCACATCAGATGAAGCCTCAAATCAATCACGACGCATCCCTACGCCCAACACGAGGTTCCGCGCTTTCTCCAAATTCTTCCGCGGATTTCAAACGTAGCGTTCAGGGGGTTCCGGTGTCTTGGAATATCCTCGGTAACATCTGCCTTGTGTTCACAAGCTCATCATCAGCCCTAGCACTAGGCTCTGGCAGCAGTTAATCTACTGACTGCAGCTCTTGATAATTGACGCAAGATGAGTGGTGGAGGACGCAACATCGCGAGGCTAATTAGATCCATCATGCAAAGATGCATGCTGCACACAACCACAGATCTGGGACGGTGTCCTGGGTATGATCATGGAAAAATTAGTAAGGCGATGACGGGCTACAGATGTGCAGGCAGGACACAGCTATCCGATCGTCGCGACTGGCTGGTGCGCTCTAATCTGCTCACCTGTGAGGCTTTCGTGTTGCGTCGATTATGCTATGAGACACTGTAAGTTTACGGAAACGGGGACTATCAAACTTCTCCTACCCTTTATCGTTGAACTTTGGATGCAATGTTTTATCTAGACTCGTTTCAAACTTAACTTGATCCTGGTGATTCGGATAGAGTCGAAGGCGGTGCGTGAAGGTTCCGCAGTGCGACATACTCCACTCATCTTTGCAAATCGAAATTGTCCAATCGAGCGACGCAGCAAAATTGTTGCAATCATTAGAACGCATGAACATTGCAGTTCGTCATAAGGAACAAAGCCAGAATCTCTATGACCATATTTCCGAATGTCACAGCGTACACCACGCCCTCAGAAGCAGTCTCGAGATACCACCCCTGTCGGCGCTATGAGAACCCACGCATGAATAGCACCAGTTTGTCGAACCCTCCGCAGCAACGTCATACTACGATAACGGAACGGCAGCCGATAGTGTAGCGATAAGTGAGGGGCTAAGTGCGAAGCTGTTCCCGAAGCAAGGTGGATGCGTCATCGCACCCTGAGCACGTGGATCGCGGGGTGATGCAGTGATCCTGATCTCGTCAGTAAAGGGAGGCTTCAATGAAGCAGCAAAGATGATCAAACATACTTAATCACATCGCTCTGTGACACAACTGCGTGAGGATATCGCCAGAAATCGGAACGTCGGAAATGGTTATGGTTCGTGGATTACATATTGATGGTGGCATCTGGAACCTTGAAGTTTGAAACGAATGATATTGCACCTGCCTAGCTTGGATGGACATCGATGAATTGGACCTTTATGGGTGATTATGGCGACGAATCGATTGACGCCGAGAGAACACAATAGTCGTATATTGGTGTGCACTAGTATCAGCCGCAAACTCCACTCACAGAACGGGCCATGGAAAATTCGATCGTTCCAGATCACGGTGAATCCCAGTTATGTCCATGTAATGACTGACCACAGTATTGAGAATGTTCAAAGTGGGGAATTGTAATACAGCCTGCAGCTGGTAGTTTCGATTTCTATGGTAAGCAACTGCGAGGTATTTACATAACTAAATTGAACCGACCCCGCTGCAGAAGAGCGGGGTCGAAAATCGTCTCACGGTCCTACTTGCATCCGATATGCAGTACTAGTTGTCACAGGTCAATTCAGAGTAGTGCGGTAGCTTCCGCGACTGTATGACTACGAAGTGCTTCGTTCGTCTCTTCACGCACAATGCTTTGCATTAGCATCGAGGAACGCGTTTTAAAGAATATTCGCCTAGATGCACGATAAACAGTTGGGATTTTCGATGGGTAAAAAGATTGAGCGCACTTGTTGCACCTTAATGATTAAGAAGCAGTAGTATCCACCGTTATAGAGCAAGAAGGACATCTGTGTCGCATTAACACCGTCGATGCTACCCGAGGATGCAGACAGTGACTATGATAGCCCTGAAATTCCTGAATTTTGTCGTCTATACCCGAGTACTGGACGTCGTATCTGCATATACATTTCTAGCGCCGGTGCTCGGGCCAATTTTGAAGTTACATGTGGACTGTGCACTGGCAGATATGTTAATCACTGCGAGTTGTGTACTGGTGAGGGCCGACAGAGCGCTCAGTCCTTCTGAGTTCAGCGTCGCCAAAGTCTTCGTAACCATGCGGCCGGTGAGCGCTGTTGGGATGAGAAAGTTTTGGACCGACGAGAAAGAACCCTAGGGCAATGCCAACGTCTCCTCGATACTGTGCCTGCATATCCCACCATCAGGCCGACAGGAAAATAATTCCCCACAATATGGAATTAATTATTAATTGAACATTTAATAGGCGAGTCGCTTGAACGGTGGGGGATAGATCGCTCGGATAAGATGGGGAGATGGGGAGATACAAGAGTGCGCGGCAACCCTGTCTTGCACACCATAGTGAACAACTCTGAGGGAATGGAAATGCAGCCGACATGTTTTCGTAGAAGCAGATTTTACATCCTACTGCGAATCATCGCGCTTGGCCACATGCATATGATCTGACCTCACGTATGAACGGTCATTTGTATGCGGCTTTAACAGGGTCGCCTGTATGAATGCATTGCACAAGATACAGAGTGACAGCCGTGAGAGGATGAAGAGTGCGGTATTCTACTACCGGTAGTGGGATGCGCTAGGAGCAGCTTGACCTGTACAAAGTGATGATGGTACAGAGAGCCGCGAAAAGGTTGGGAAACCCAATGGACCGCTGATGAGTCTGTTGAACCATCGTTCCAGCTGGCTGTGGGGCAACTGCGCTTCGCTGGAGGAAACAACAGTGCACATCGTAAAGCCATGCAGCAGTGCCCTACTCGCAAGACATGCCACGAGGCTGAAGGCAAAGATGCGATGAACAAGTACCGATCGCCCGGGTGTATAGGGGTTGCAAGGCAATGTCGAATCTAAGGGGTAGCCATAATCTTGGGCTTGGACGCAAACTCGCAGAGTCGCAAGAGCTCAGATGATGTTGATGATAGATGGCCAGATCCTTCCAGTACGGTTGAGATTGCATAGCAACAGACGAAAAAAAGGGTCCACTTACGCCAGAAGCCCCACCAGGCTCTGGATCACAGCCCATACGAACGGGACCCAGCTTGATGAATTTGATCAGTATGGGTATGCTGCGGGCGCAGGGACAACAAACGCACGTGGACATGTAAAAGCCGCCTGCCTTGTATACACCTGCAAGTACGAAGCCGACCACAGCTGCTCCCATGACAGCACCAGTGAGACTAAGGAACAGAAACGCAAGAATAACGAGGAGGGCAAAAGCGAGTCGAGAACGGCGAACGTTAGGTCGTGGAGGCTTGATCCATTGTTCAGTTTGGTTGGAGTCGGGAGAGAAGGGAATGCGGGGAGAGGGTTCAAGCGGGAATGTCGTTATTGATCGACGCGAAGGCGGAAATGCGAAATTGAGGAAGGCATAAATGCCACAGATGGCATAGAAAGGAAGGTGAAAAATAAGAGTCCAGTAAAGAGTGAAGCGAAAGATGTCTGTAGAGTTCCATAAGCTTTCTGCAGTAGGAAGTGACAGAAAATGGCCTACCATCTGGATTGACGAGATAAGAACCACCTGGCTGCATGGGACGCAGGGGACCATGACCGACGGAGAGTTCGATGGCTGGGTTGTAGAGAGATGGCCAGCTCACGGAGGTGATGTTGAGTTCCATTGCCATGGTGGACAATTCAAGTAAAAGCACATCAAGAAAGATTGAAGGTGAGTCTGCTGGTCAGCTGAGCCAACGTTAAGCTCGTAGTAAAGTGCTTGTTTGGGAATGCCCGTAAACATCAATAAACACGGGACTCCACTAACTGCTAGGCTTGCAACGAACTCCCGGCTCCCAGTCAATCAAAATCCATGTTGTAGCTCGATGTTTCTAGTTCAATGATGTCCACTGCGCGTGCACAAACACTGCTGCTCCTGTGAAGATCGCCGGCACTATCTGCGTATCCTCATTTGCATGCATACATCTGTTATGGTCAGCATTCAAATGAATTGCCTACGAAAGAATCCTTAACAATTTCAAGACTACGACAGACCCTGCTCTTAGACTCTTCGTCCAGCACACTTCCTTATTCTCAGCGCGGAGAATAGTGAGCACCTTTGAACTTGGCCCTCGCCGGAAAAGACCCTGATATACATACAGGATCGATGGTGGGCTGCTTAGCTTGAGCGCGACATCACAATGACTGCATGACGCCCATCCCAGACTCAACGTCCACTCCATAATATTAGGCTAACGGTATGCATTGCATGTAGTACTGACACCGTGTTGGTATTACGTAATACATATCTTGCTCACCACTTGTGCTGATTTTGCTCGCCATGCTTAGCCGTCTATTTGTTTTGTACCGAGGCATTGGAATTAAAAGCACATTCGGATATGCTATTCCCGATCGCCGACCCATTTCCTGAAGAACCACTGACCTTATCTGGGGAAGAGGAGTTCGGATTCTTTACTGCCAGCCTTGGGACGCAACTCAACAATTCTCGCTGTAATATCCTGAGAAAGCTGAGGAGGGACCCCTCGGTTTTCCTCTATTTGCTAGGCTTCAGATTCTCTGTAAGTCTAATTGCCCATATTAAGTCATTCTTACTCATCGTTCAACGTTCATTCCATTAGAGCGGCTAAGAAGCTAAGATATTGATCATACCGTACCATAAAAACTCTGACTGTTCATGCTACAAAAGGTCATCACAGCGGCCACCTGCTGTTGGAGGCCATAGAAATTATTGCTGAATCAATCAAGACACCTCTTCGAGACTATCATCGCTCAAGTTGCGGAAACCTTGACTCTGTTGCATGCCACAAACATCATATACACAGGTAGGTATAGCAATTACGCTGACGCAACGTATTGTCCTTTCTACTGAAATAGACCTCAAGCCCAACAACGTACTATTTGACGAGGGGAGCGCCATGACGGAGGAGAATTTTTCTGAGAAGATCCTTACGAGGCCCCGAAAGCGTGATGAATACTTTGGTCAGTGCATCCTTCCTCGTAGCGTCCACTCCATTGAACACGGTTGGATCATATCAGGGAAGTTACTGCGTATCGACCGACTGTCTCCGAGGACTCTCGAGAGCGAGATGATCAAGTACGGTCTGTTGGAAGCAGAAGCGATTGCCGCTGCAGCGTTCATCCATGCGTGCTTGCACTTTGATCCAGAAGAACGATATCCGGCCAGTGACTTGCTTGAACATCCATGACTGGAGTCTGCATATAGTATGTGTTAGTCTATCTTTCTATCTTTGCTGCGTTTGCGTATCACGGGCGCTGGAGATCTTGAACGCTAGGAACACCTGCAATGGAGTCACATGTTGAAAATATCCTCGAAACGATTATTCAAGGAAAGAATATATGGCTTCGTTGAGCAGTCCAGCGTTGTTCGCAAATAGCGGGCTTCACTCGCACCATAATGAAGACGATGACAGCCTGAGACGCAGTGAGTGACCTGAGGGCCAAGAGTTCAAAGACACCAGCCAGTAGTCGCTCAACCGTATGAAAAGGAATATCTCTCTGCACAAGTACAAAAGTAATACAGATACTGTGAGAGTACAAACGAAAACTACTCAAAAATTTCTGTGTTTCAACCACACGAGTAACCACACGTTGCAAGCGCTGCATCTCTATCGGAAACATAGAGCGTACTTAGTTTTCACTGAAGAGCTGAGTGTGGTTGAGGATTAGGATTCTAAGGTTGGGTAGCATTGCTGAAGACTAGTACTTACCAGCAAACCAAGCACTTAAGCCGGCTTTCGTATGCTCATCACTCTTGTCCATGGTGGATCGGTAAGATTCTACGGCTGCTCCAATTCTACCCGCCTTAAAGAGTGCATGGCACTGTTGCTGGTTCGCGTTCTGCCACAAGGACTTGAGGTCCCAACCGAAGAGCTGCAAAAACACACAAATGAGCGCACTGTTCAGTTGTATCATATCAACGCACCACGACAAATTCCTCGTATGTAGAATGAATAGCCGATTTATAAAAGAAAGCACTGGCGTTGACGGCGGCAGTGAAGTGGTCAACAGCTTCGTTGTAGAACTTCTGATTAAAGGCCGTGTTTCCTAGATGAACACGTAGATAGGCCTGATGCAGAAAGATCAGTGCCAGCATACTACCTGAACCTCATCAAATAGGCGATGCTCACTTCCACAACACGACAAGCAAGAGTATCGACATTGGGAGAGATGGCTAGTTCTTCGACACGTAGCATTGCCTCTTTATGTTGACCCGCGTTGAACAATGCGATGGTCTGAAAGTCGCAATGAAGCACTGAGTACTATGTAATATTTCTTTTACCCGCCTTTATTAAGAACAGACACTGAGTGGTCTTTAAATCTCCATTGGTGAATGCTGATGCGAGGTCAAATGCCGTGCTCGCCGCGGCCCAAAATTTCTTTTTCCCGAAGAGGGCAATGCCCTCGGAGATATGGCCCGCAAAAGAAGGCTGAATTCTGACGGACTATGTCACCATAAAAGTTAGCTTCATAAGGTGGCCGTGATGGATCAAGGTATATCACATTAATTGCATCATGGAGCGCGCGGTCCCAGTCAGATTTTCGTGCCATGACAAATGCTCGGTTGGCATAGGAGGTGTAATTATTGGCATCAGTGTCAATCTCTCGATTGAGCACCATTTCAGCGGTGTGCAAATCGCCTGCTATGCACGCGTTTCGGACGTCCGAGTTTATAGCGAGGACCTGCGTCAAATTTATTAGCATTACATTGTAGGAGATAAAGGTGGGAACATGCCTTGAAATCAGAGTAGGCTTGAACCTTGGCATCAAAGAAGAGGTTTAAATGACGAAGAGTCACGAAAAGCTAGATCACCTGGTGTATCGCTTGCTCCTTGGGAGCATCCTTTGAATCATCCTTTGGAACATTCTTTGGACAATCCTTTGGCAAAACATCCTCAAATACCGGCCACTCTGTGATTTTATCCTGGTCTCCGCTGAAGATTTGCCTGTCATCGGGAGAGAAGGCGACGCACCGCACCTCGCTAGGGTGTTTGAATACGATAATGGGTCGACGTTCTGAGACACGCCAGAGTCGGACACAGTTGTCATCAGATGCGGAGGCAAGGAGAGTGCCGTTAGAATTTAAGGAAATGTTCTGGATACTTTTGAGATGACCCTCCCAGGGATCACCGACCTGCGTCCAGGTCGATGTATCCCACTCGCGTATGTTCGGATCACTGTTACCGCCCGCTGAAAAAAGCCGTGTACCATCGGGCATCCAGGCAAGCGAATTATTGTATGATCCGTCAGTGTAACCCTTGAGGTCTGCTACGCATTTGCTCGTGCTCAGATCATAAATTTGGATGTTCTTGCTTGTTGCAATCGCAAGAAGCTTGCCGGAAGGCGAAAACCGAATGCAGCGGACAGTTACCTTGTGACAAATGATTGAATGTCCTAGCTGCTGCCAGGTTTTTGTGCACCACAGCTCTATCGTTCCATATACTGAACCGGTCGCCAACAGTGAGTCGTCGGGAGAAAATGCCAGCGATTGGATCCTAGTACAATAGGCTTGGATGGTTTGAGTGCGAGATTCCCCGATGCTTAGATTCCAGGCGATGAGCGTCCTTTCTTCATCACTAATTGCTATCATGCGTCCATCTCGCGATACCGCCAATGCATTCACATTGCGCCATGGCCTCGGATGCCCTTCCAATCTTTTCAACAGAACGCCTTCCCTCATGTCCCACAGATGAACCATATTGCACAAAGTCGTGACCATGTGTTGCCCGTCAGGGGAAACTGCGATTGCATTTATGCAATGTTTTTTTTGTGGATTATTGATGTGCATATCGCCACAATCGTAGTGTTGCCCATGATCTTCGAATAGTCGAAGGGGCGTAGGGTTTAAAATGAGTCTCGTCATTTCTAAAGGTTGATTATTGTGATGAAAGTGGACGGGGAGATTATCACGAGGCTCACTGTTGTTTTATGCTGCTCCAAAGACACAGCGTTATTATTAATAGGAGGGCTCAAGGGTTAACTTTAAGCACTCCTAAATTAATTACTCATCACACCTTGCATGCGTTCAATGATGTCGAATTTCAACTGTAACAATGGACAACGTGATATCATCCACCTGCGGCTAGTGTCGTGCCCTAGATTTGTTTCAGGAACGTTAGTTTCCTCCAGCAAGTTCCCTCATCCAGCCTCGACTCCTTCTTGCTCCGAAGATGCAGAGTTTCTCGAGGTTAGCAGATGAAATTTTGGAGTAGCAGAGCGGATTGTGCATTGGCATGGCGTCAAATGAAGTGATATCCTGTGAATAAATGATAGTTCCACTCGGGTAAATAACAACTCGAGAAGAAGTACCACAAAAACATCATTCATCAAATCCACCTATAGCCCATACGCCCTTCCCCAACTGTGTATCTTCAAGTCATCCTCCCCGCACTCTAAACCACTTGTTTGGTGCAGGAAGCCGTATCGAGATGGGAGAAAGCGTGCGTGATTATGCTGGTGAGGAGTTGAACGGGTTGTAGTGAGGAGAGCAGCAGCGAGGAGTGTGTGATTGTTAGAAGCTAAGATACGAAACACGCTCAGTGTGTGAAGACAACGACTAATCATTGCTAGTACCTAAGATACGAAACACGCTATGAAGTTGTAGTAAGAGACGGCGGGAAGATAAGAGACAATGAACCATACCTCAGTGTGTGAAGACAACGACTGAGGTATGGCCGAACGAAGAAGGTGCGTATTATATATGTAATCCACGTGACGAATATAAAGAAGGAAAGTGCTATGGACGATGACGAAGAACAGTGACGATGATAAAACTCAAGACACCCCCACAACATGACAATGTTGCAACTAGTACTAACGATCGACGAGCGAGAGTCCGGATTGGTGCCGAAGGAATAATGGACGAGGGAGGCATTTGGTGAAGATGTCGGCGACATTCTTGTGAGTGGATAGCCATACTGGCTTGAAGGTCTCGTCTTCAACGTGCGCGCTGTCTTACTAGGATGTGAAAACAGTAAAATTCACCAATTTTCAGTATCCTACCACGGTCAACAGTTCAGACAAATACCAACAGTCGATAACGTGGTCGTTCGTGGGAAAAAGTGTGTTGAGTTTTCAAAGGAAGTACTCAGTGACTAAAAAGGGGGGAAACAGAATCAGTAACTGGCTTGATGCAGTGCTATGATCCTAAAGAAAGTCAATAACTGGCGCGATGCAGTGCTATGACTTCAACGAATACAGATGTATGTCTTATGCGATGATTCTTAGAGCTATAACAATACTCCCTATCTTCACAAACCAATTGGAGATCAAACTAAGCCTCTAACACGGATCAGCCCGAACTAATACGTGACTTTGAAACCTACTCTCTGCTGCTCAGGCACTACACGATGAGTTTGACGCAGGACAGAACAGAATACACCCTCTTGATGTAGTCTTAAGTGGGCCAAGTTCTTAATATTAGTGACTGACTGTTAGTCTTATTTGTCTTCCCTCAGGCAATAGTGTAATATTGATGCATTAGAGCAGGCTAAGTAGCCTAGCTTTGTGATGCATCAAGCTTGCTCATTGTGTGATGCATGATTAATGCATCAGGGATCTGACAGTGATGCATCATCTGTCCGGTACATATTTGGGCTGTGCTGTCCATATTTAGCACTCGTCCATCCATATTTAGCACTCGTCCATCCATCGTGCCCTATATACCCTGCTCCCGGCAGTACCTTGCTTACCTACTCCTTGCTTCCCGCTTCGCCCTGATAGTACCTTGCTTACATACTCTAATTCTTTGGTATCCGGCCACTCAGTACTCACTTTAGTAGGTCTCTTTCTGTCTTTTTCTGCTTACATACTCTAATTCTTTGGCGTTCGGCTACTCAGTACTCAGTATTCACTTTAAGTAGGCCTCTTACCTGTTCCAGCTCTCCGTTGGGATTAGTAATAGGGTTTGAGTTTTGAATTCACTAAGTCTGTGTGAGCCTTGAATTCACTAAGTCCGTTCAAGCTTTCAATGAATTCACTAAGTCCGTTCAAGCTTTGAATTCACTAAGTCCCTCACTCCATTCCGCCACCTTGTTCTGATTATGTAGTATGGAGTCAAAATAACTGTATTGCAGGTGCGACACAATATTTGATACAGGACGTTGTTACAAGTATATACACACACTCTAAATGTAGGACATTGACCGGACTCTCACAACCCTACCATTCAAGAGTGCCGAGCCTTTCTGTGGAGTTTATTAGCGTGTTTTTGCAACAAAATAAAATGGACGTACTTCCGTGAGTCTGCGGGGCGAGCACGACGTGCCGGGACTCCAATGTTGTTATCACGCTCTCGTGGATTGAAGGGAACATTGTTACGTGCACGGAGACGAGGCACGTTCATCTCCATGTGCACTGGCAATGTAGGTGGGTCCATGGATGATGTAGGAGCCGGGGATCTGTCAACACGCCGTCTGCGTGCCCCATGGCGAGGATGAACCTCCGGCTGGTTGAGAAGTGAATCGTCGTCCTGTCCTTCCTCACTATTCGCAGATGGGACAGCAGGGAGCAGCACCTCCATTTCTTGATTTGATGGGGGGCAATCACAGTCGTCTGGAGATGTCAGGTTGGCGGGAGACTGCGCAGGCAAATCTGACGACTTGTCGGTAGTATCAAGGGCCCGCATGGACCAGTCATTGTCAAGGACACCAGGCTCAAAGTAGGGATTGTTGACAATAGCAGCGAAGGCATGGGGATCAAAGGCAGAGAAATCGGCGGTGCCTTCTACGATGGGGTCGAAAGCAGTAGAGTGAGAAAGAAATTCGGTAGCGAGCGATGAATTATCGACAGTTCCAGCCATGCTGCCAAGCGCCGTTGATGCATCAGCTGATGCCTGGCTAGCAGTTGTGGGAAACGCTTTGGGCAATGCAGAATCCAAGAGGGTATCCAATGGAGTATGTGAGCCACTCTGTGCGCACGGTGAGACACATTTCACTGCATATTGGTAAGCTATTACTCACAGCGTGATCCTCGAGAATTTCATCACTGGCAGATTGGGGAGTCATGCGATACAGGTTGTTTGTATCAAAGAGTGCGAGATCCTCGACTTGACTCATATCCTCCTCAACACTCTTTCCTCGTCTATTGTTGTTATCTTCGTCAAAGTCCCAGTCTGATGAGGACTCTTCGTCTTCATCCTCTGCCGTCTCATCATGTGGTAGGGTAGACTCAAATGCTGATTGGGGAGCACGTAAGTCTGTGTCTCTGAATTTAGAAACTTCAGCCATACCGAGAGCGTTTTGAACGAATGCTAGGAATGCAGCTTGCATTCCATCGAAGTCTTTGTACACATGATTGAACTGGGCACCACTTTGAAGTTCGCCTACGTGATAGCTTGATTACGATAAGCACAGTTTTCCTTATGTTTGCGAATGTTGCTCACTTGAAAACTGATGTTTCACCCGTCCTAGGATCACGACCTCCCATAAAAACCGTAAACTTCCACCCGCCCGTAATGTGCGCGAGATATTTGAGGATGCGGTCAAGCATTGGACCTAGCTCCCGAATAGCTCTACCGCAGAGGATTGAAGTCAGTAATGTGACATTCAATTGATTAGTAGGTACGTACTTCACTTTTGTGGCATCATCGAGTTTTAATGGCTTCCCAGACTTCAGCTGCTGGCGCTTTTTTGCGAAATTTGCTTTCGCCTTGCGATACTTCCTATCAATATCCACTTTGACAGACTCGCTTTCCTCCAAGTACATCTGCTGCGTGATCTCACGGCGCTTGTTCAGCTTCGGGCCTCTATTGGTGATGTTTTCTGTTGTAATTGCATTGTCTGCAACATTCTTAACCTTCGCTTCATAGAATTTGTGCGAGTAAATATCGATTTTTTGGGGTGCCCGTGTACCTTTGAGTTCCACGCCCCCACCTAAGACGGTATCAAATTTCAGCACGCCCCTGGCGCCTTTTGAGCGAGCATGACGTGCAGGGTTTATCTGCCACCTATACCAGGTAACCAGTTGCTGTAAAATCAATCAGTACATGTTTTATCTGGTTTTCGTGCATGTTCTTACTTGCTGACGCATCTCAACTGCTCTTGCCAGAGCCTTAATGTCGTCCGGGGTGCGAACATAGTCATCTGGCATGTCTTTGAAGATGACACGTTCCTCAGACCACCTTTCGAACCATAGAGCCCAGATGCGCGTGAAGAAATCATCATAGTTCTTGGTTGCGGCACTCTCGCGGAACTCAGACATGAAGCTGAGGAGAAATTCCTCTTGCTCTGGAGTAGCCCACTTCTTGCCCGCCATCTGTAGCAGGGTAAGTTTTTTAAAAAATGAAGAAAATGCATGGAGCGCACTTTCACGGGTATGGCGGTCAATCTTGGGTAGGCAAACAACCACGGGAGACAAGATTCAAGTACGGTGATCCTCAACTTCTTCAGTGCGGTCCTTATTGATAATATATATGTCTAGAGCTTCACTAATTTAACTCATTTATGCGCCACGCAAGGCAAGTTCTCAATATCTACACTAGATCTACACATATAATGCATATAATGACACGCCCACATCCTCTCACTTTGTGTGCACACAGACTGACTACCTCGTCTATCCCCTGATATACTGAATCAATTTTTGTGGTACAAGACCCAGCCAGAATCTCTCACCTTCTCGACTTCCTCGCAGGAAAATGCTCCTTCAGCGTCACACGTGTCTCTTGATACAACGTGTTCATAAGTACAAAACTCTGAAGGCGCTTCTCCTACAGTCAATATATGTCCCCCTTAACATGAAATGAGTCGCGACATACTCGACGACGGCGCCTAATGGCTTCAATGAGTGATGTCTGCTGCAGGTCAGACAACACTTGATCGTGAGGTATCTCCCCAAAATGCACAGCACGTTCAGGCCAAGTTGCGAACCACTGGGAGTAAATGCTCTCCCAAAAAAATTCCCGCTCTTCCACTGACCCGGAACGAGCAATTTTAAAAGCAGGTGAAAATGTTTTAAGCATATCGCGCTGGTCACGCGTGAGGACTGCAATCTGCGACATGGACATGGTGAGAAGAGAGCAGTTGAATCACAGAGCTGTGCGCCTGCACATGTCTTCGCAAAGAGATCTGCGCATAGCCCCCCTACACTTCAAACTGTCATCTGTAATTGTATTCTGGAGGTCTTGCAAACCAAGATAGAAGCTCTACAGGGCATGTACTAACTAGACGGGGAATTTGTACTCCTGGTACCACAACTCATTCCCCATGAAAGTGATTGATAGTTCACCGTCTCCGCCCTCCGCCAGACGCAACAAGATGTCTTCAATCATCCCTATCATCTCCCTCATGAACCTGCAGACACCATCCGCAGCACGCCACTCATCACTCACACCACACATCTGAAGGATACCATCAAGCCCGCGATTAGCTTGGTCGAGGAAGTCTTCCAAGCGTGTGATAGCGCGCTCGAATATAGACTTGTCTCCATTCGCGGTAGGGTGTAACTCGGGGTCGGGCATCGTTTTGGAGTACTCATCCACGAGGAGGTCAAAGAATCGTCGTGGACTTTTCACATAGGCCATGAAGTCATCCTTGGCGTACTTAACTGTAGCAATGCAGTCATGTAAGGTTTCGCTGATGTAAAAGTCAGACACCTT